GGCATTTAAAATTTGGAACATTATCAGTGGAAAAGATAGAGGTTACTAAAACAGACCTCTTGAAATAAAACGATCGATCGTGTCCTTAGACCCGTCGTTACGGAACGCTCAAATGGATTCTATAAAAATAATATTTTCTATTTTTGAGACCAGTTTTTAATATTTGCTAAAACTATTCTTATTGGGAGATTGGATTCCACAAGCTCCTGTACCATTTGTTTCTACCTAGAATCGAAAAGGTGCAACGTGTCCCAGTCGCGTGACTCACCCTGTTTACTGCATTAACCCTAATAGTGTGCAAATGGATGCAAACGACGTGCAAATGAGACATTAATGTCTCGTGCGTTGCGAGAAAAATTCCGCGAAATACATTTTATAGGTAATTGACACGAAAAATATAAAACACGAGTTTATACATAGGTTCGTTACATGAAAAGTAATAATAGAATTCCTATTCTCGTGTGCAATTATTTCCCCCGGGGGCCAAACTACCTAGCCACACTATTGGTCGAGACCACCTATAAAATGCACGATATCTCGCTTATGCTTGTTTTCACAGAAAAAACATGTAATGAAACTTTTTTATTCCGTACTAATTTTCGGTAGAAATACGTAATTGGGTTTTAATTGGAAGCTGGTAGTCGATACGTCGTGCCGGAGTAGAGTCTATATTCGTAAATATCTTTTACATACGAGTGTACATGGTCGAAAATGCAGTGCAAAGAATGCCTATCATCGCGTTACAGTTGCACAATCGACGAAAATAAACGTTCTGGCAAGCAGTATCGATACATTAAACGCGGTACCGACGATTCGCGTTCTAGCCAGCAGGAATCGATTCGACTCGTTCCGCGGAAATCGTTGTTCGCGGTAGCGAGTCGGCTATCAGCGCGGAGGTCATCGATTGTCCAATGAATTTCATTAGCCCGTGACGCAAAACGACGCTGCAACCGACGCATCTCGAATCTTCTGCCCGTTCGGAAGTCCCATTACAACAGTGGTGCGCCAGAGATGGGCAGATTTTAGTTCGGATAATAGGTAACCAATCGTGCTAACCTCCAACAATTTATTTGCCACCTTCGTTCGACAGAACTGAGAGATTTTTACTCGTTTACACCAGTGTTGAACGACCCAATCGTCGCTGTAAACTCTACACTAAATTATTTATGTTATCGAGACTTTATAATTCATGAATTTAATGAAAATCTGTCGATTGTCAATGCTCGTATCGTCCAATTTTTCTCAGAAACAGAATATAATTCGCGTTGGTTACTCGATTGGCAAGGCTATCGATTTGGTATTAACAAAATCGTTAATTAGGTGATTATCACTGAGGAGTTTCGACTTCACGATTAATACTAACTCGAATCTCGTGATCGATAGCAGCAACTGACGCAACGAAATTCTCGATCCCGCGCGTACGTAACGATGCTCAAATAATATTCTTATCGACGTTAATGGAGTCTCTAATTAATGCCATATGTTTGTTTGCCTGGCGCCGACGTTCAATGAACGAACAGCACGCAAATTTTTCTTGCATAAATTTTACGCCATTCCTTCCAGCCTCAACTACTTTTTAAAACCTTTCTAAAATTTTCAGCAGAAATAATTACTTTTCAACATTTTTTCCTCGCCGTATTATGCGTGTGTACGCTGGTGTGTGATATGTTCCACGCGATTTTCTGAATTATTTTCTTCGAAACCTCGTCCACGGACGTCACGCTTTCGTCAATCGCCACCCACTGTGATTTTCCGACACTTATGGTTCCATTATAATTAAGATACGGTCAATTTCCGACAATACGTTTCCAACGAATGACGCGCGACAAGCTAATTCAAGGAACATTTTAGCAGATAGATATTGCTATTAATCTACGGATCGTGATTTCTATTTGCCGGAGATTTTTCACCACACGCGTCTGCGATACTTTCTTGGCGTTGATTGCATTATTCTAGCAAGAATATTTGTTGAGACATACAAAGCAATCGTGTGTTTCGTGGGAATCATTTACTAACCGATGTTTGCTCTCTTATCTGCAAACCATCTGTTGAAAGCCTTCCTATGAATCGTTTGTTTTCCCCAATTTTCCATAAACGGATTTTTCCACGAAAGATAGTGCGTCAACCGTGTAGGCCTGTAAGTTAACGCAAACGCGATATGATCTAACGTGTTTGCAGACGTTTGAACGTTAAACACTATACCTACATGATCTAGTCTAGACTGCTATTGTTTATTACTACCGGGGCTGCGTTTCCGCTCTTTCGTAGTTGATTTTGAGAAATTTTCTTTGATAACGGTGTATCTGTTTTCTAAGAATCGCCGGGCGTTGTTTAGAAATCTATGCAAACGTTGCACTTTTCAGAAACTAGCTCATTGGGTAGAATTTTCTGCAAATATTTCCATTATTTGAGTTCGACTTCAATTTGGTGAAAAATTAATTTTTTTTTAGATATGCTTGAAAAATGTTGTTTCTGCTATCGTAATATTTTTTTAAAATTCTTCCTTCATCTATGTAATGCAATTACGTCGTCGGAATACTACAGAAATAAATCAGCGAACGAATTTAAAGCATCGCGACGTATAGATTCCCGAAATAATGCTGGTCGCGCGACGGTCCTCTTCTCGAAAGCATTTTGATTATGCACGCACCGGCGAAACTCGATAAACCGTAGCTGGTGTCGGTTAAAAAAAGGTCGAAGCTCATGCAATATGCAGACAATCTACCAGTAAAGCTTTCGAGTGCCCGGCATGCTTTATTGTTAATCTCCGTGGGCCAATTACAAACACCCGTTATCGCCAGCGCGAGCACGTGCGCGTCATGAGATTTTTCTGTCGAATCGCGTTGAAAGAGACGAGGAATCCTCGGACGATGACAGCATTTCTTCGCGAATTTTTCTGAACTACAAAACATTTAAATATCCAACATACTCTTCCCTAAAACGATGCACAAATATTTAAGAACTCCAACAGGATTTTTAGAAACACTACTTAGAAGTGAATTAATTCCTCCAGTAGTATCAGGACAGCCATTGTCTTTCTCATACAGTAAAAAAATCTTGAAATACTGTTTACTATAGCAGTAACTCTTCTATAAATTGCTGCTTCCAATTTTGAAATTTAAAAAAATAAGTCCATAATAAGAATAAGAATAAGAAGTCCACTTTCCTGAATTTTTGTCTCGAAAGTGCGTAGGATTTCGAGAGTGTGTCTATTCACCAAAAATGATTGTAATTGACCCCTGCAATCAAAAATAATTTTTTTAGAACGATTTGAAATTTTTTAATTTTGTCGTCTTTGTCCACCTACTCGAATTTTTTTCTCGAAAGTGCGTAAGATTTCAGGGGTGTGTCTATTCACCAAAAATGATTGTAATTGACCCCTGGAATCAAAAATAATTTTTTTAGAACAATTTGAAATTTTTGAATTTTGCCGACAAAGTCCACCTTCCTGAATTTTTATCTCGAAAGTGCGTAAGATTTCAGAGGTATGTCTATTCGCCAAAAATGATTGTAATTGACCCCTGGAATCAAAAATAATTTTTTTAGAACAATTTGAAATATTTGAATTTTGCCGACAAAGTCCACCTTCCTGAATTTTTGTCTCGAAAGTGCGTAAGATTTCGGAGGTGTGTCTATTCACCAAAAATGATTCTAATTAACCCCCGCAACCGAAAATAATTTTTCCAGAATGAAGTGAAGTTTTCTAATAACTTTTTAACGAAGCCTCGATCAACAAATTGATATTCTTGATTTTCGTCTTACTTTGGTCTTTAAAATCTTCCATTAAAATTTTTCTCGGGGATGGGGCAGTACGAGCTTTTGATTTATATATTTAATATGGTTCTTTTTATCTTTTGATCCAACGTTTGAGGAACACAAAGCCGTTCTATTGTCAAAGCGAAATGTTTCTCTCCTTTCCCCTACCCTCGATTTGGAAACCGTTGCTGGCAGAAAGCTTCAATTAAATTTGCAAGCGATCACCATTTGCGGCGGAACCGTGACATTCGGCGAACCGTGACAGCGAAAAATTGGATTGTTTAAAAGCGAAATGCTGTGAAACGTATCGAGCTGTTTCGTCATTGATGTTTCTCCTCGAACTTCTCGCCGTTAAACGGGCTTCGCCATTGGTCGGCTTTCTCCTATTGTTCCCACTTTGCTGCCACCCTTGTACTACATTTTCGTTTTCTCGCCAACTTTTCGCTCGCGGCGCGTCCACTTCGCCGGACGTCCGCTTCGTTCGAGCCCGCGAAGTGCAGCTTCAGCGAAGTAACGCCACAGGTAGTGTTTCAACTCGACGTTTTCCCTTTTCTCGAAAGGTAAGAACGAAATTGAATTCTCTTTAATCCTTTAATAAACGAGATTCGAACGCGAACGTTTTCCCCTTTCCAAAAGACTTAAATTTCATTTCTATTTAAAGAATAAAAATTCTAATCGAGGTATTTAAATGTTCACGGAATCAACGACGACAAGATTTATTCGCACAAGTGTATGGTACGAGGAGACATTAAAGATTACATAAAATGTATGTATAAAAAGAAAACGTTTCTTTAAAAAATTTATAATCGTACGAACAAAAAAAACACCTACGTAGTGTCTACTTATGTTATTTTCGTATTCCCACGATTCTTAATCGAAAACTGAGCTATTACAGTTGATTCCACTAAACTGCTTGTTCACAACGTCCGATAATTCTTTGTTTTTCTTAATGGGAGATTAGCAGGTCAATCCTACGTCAATTTCTGGAGTAATCACTTGCATGAATTACTGTTTGCACGCATCATGTGATTTATGCATACCAGTGCACCGTTTCGTTTCAGCCGAGTAACCGAACGGTCTTGAACGAACGACTTTCCAGCAGATGGATAGGTCCAGTGGGACCTATTGCTTCGTCTGCTCGATTCCTAAATTTAAATCCGCCGGATCTTTAGTTTTAGGGACGTAGAAACATTCGTTCATTCAATATCAACCAAATTTTAAAAATAAATCAAATCCTTTCCGTCAAATTATTTCCTATTTGCAAAGAAAATCGTGAAAATAAAATTTTAAAATATCCCACCGATTCAGATAAGTAGATTCGAGTTTTGAAGTTGAGAAAAATATTTTTTTTACACTCTGCACAAGCTGTCGTGAACAGTGGTTCAAGAGGTACCGACATATACCCTTTGTTCACGTCAGGGATGACTTTTGTACCCCGTCGATGCGGAGCTACAGTAATTTCTCGACGAGCGTGTCTGCGTTGGGGATACGTCACTCGGTGGGTCGATAAAAATTTTATTGGTCAATTGATCAGGGATCACGCGACTCGAATAAATTTGCACGCGTCCGTCGGACCCGCCGCCAATGAATCGCAATAAACAGCCGGGGCGCGTCGAAAGGGGCAGCGGAGTCCTCGATTAAATTTGCGGCCCGCCAATTGTTTGTCTTGTGACTACCGTTCGCGTGATCGGTCGGTTTCCGTAAACTCGGATCACGTGCTAGCAGGGACCGGCTTGGACCAAGTCAACTCGACACTTGTACGTCCCTGGATCTCTTTATACCAGTACTACTTTCTTCCCAGTAAGTAAAACAAAAACCAGAATGCGATTGGATTAATAAAATGATGTTTATATAAAAGTTATTTAAAATATTCTATAAAAGGGAGTGACCATACGTCCAAAAATGAATCGAAAACGTAGAATGAACTTCCTTCGTACGATGCTAGGTTTCCGAGAAAATTGATATTGAAACTGTTCGGGGTACGTGCACGATTTCCTAAATTACATTTTAACAGATCTAGCTGCACAATATTTATGATTTAAAATAATAATTTATACTGGTAATGTTATACTCTGACTATGAAGAGATTATGGTAGTATAGAATGATCCGTAACGCGAAGCGGCATTATTGGAGCGCGCGCATGCCCCGCGTATCTCCAAAATCGATTTTCGGGAAAACAGAGCTTTGTATGCAAAAATTTTATTCCACGTTTTCGATATATTTTTCCACGTAGAACTATTTCCATTTTGGTTCTACCATTCTTTGTGGGGCAGATTATACATATATAGATAAATATTTCCACGTGCTCCAAAAACATTGAAAATCAGTATTTGAAACTTGCAACGTTTCTGAAACATTTTGCAACAAATGAGCTCCAATATTAGTGCAATTTTTAATAACATTACTGCTGTTGAAAATGTTGAAAAGTGAAAAGTGTAATGGCAATCGATTTGCTAGACGAGAATATGAATCGTCGCGGAGGGAATTTTTGTTGTCACTCGTGGTTCTTAATGGGCCTTAATCGCCGACCAACTGAGCTAATGTTTGCCAAGAGAACATAGTGCGCGCGCGCGCACGATCTTCCGGTTCGCCCGTGGCCCCTGACACCGCCGATAAGAATAGTGGAAAGTTACCCTGGTAATTAAGCATAGATCGCATCTAAGTGGAAAAGAATTGCCTAATGCATACCGATCGTCCAACTCGTACGTCGAAATCACCCCTCGTATTTAAGAGAATTCATAAAATTCTTAAGAAGTCTAACGATTGGGCACAACTTACAAATTTAAAATTCAGACAGTCATTAAATCTTCGATTTAATAAATTGAAGTTAATTTTATTTCCCATGACTTACAATAAATTACGTTATTTGACTGAAATTTCACATGTAAAATTTCATGCTATTAATTTCATTTTATCCAACCAGATTACAGTTTTAACAACTTATGAGCAGATTACTATACGTTACTAATCGATACTTATTATTCGAATGTTTTGCCTATATGTAAGCCAATCCTATTAATCAGTAATGCGAGCGTTAAATTTGTTAACGACGACAGGAAAACAACAGAAAATTTGTACTTTAAGCGTGTTTTATCGCGGATGATAAATTGAATGACCTCACTCTTCATCTCTCTCTCTGTCGTACAGTTTTCAGTTAATCGCGCGTTGCGAAAGAGTAAGCGGTCACGTGCCCCGGGAAGCCTCTTTTCATCTCGACGAGCGCTTCTCCGCGAATACCTCGTCAGGGCCCTGCTGCTTTTGCTCGACGACGTCGGGCAACGTGGAAGGAAATAATTGAAAAGGACGGAACGGGGAGTAAGGGCGCCATCGGTGCATCCGCGACGCGGAATTAATCCTCGCGTTTTTTGTTTCCTTACTTCTCAGAAGTCAATTCAACGATTCGCTCGCGGGAATAATCGACTAATTTTAATATTGTCACCGCCGGTGAATCACTCGTAACTTTTTGCGCAATTATATTATCATTTATTACCAGAAGCCTCATAAGAAGAAACATTCTACGAAGAAAATTGGAAACGTTGTGGATATCGTGGCTCGAGAAATGAGAAATAGGCAGAGTTAAGAAATTCGGAAAAATAGCTGAATAATTTTATCTATTTTGGTAGTTTTCCGCTCGAGCAATGCGGCTTCCGCGTGATTTCAGCGCTTTCATTTCATACGATTCGAGAATTTCGCGAGTAGCCGCGAGTATTGCCCGTCGCGATGCATTTCCAGCGTTTCAGCATTTTTGCGTTTCCGTGGAACCGCGATCAAAGATTCCATGAATGCGATCCCCGAGCGTCGATACACGCGGAATAATCGTCGGAAAGCGTTTCGCTCGACTTGGCCTCCGGTGAAGTCCAATGAGCTGCTCGAGTTCCGACGGACAGCTCTGAAAACATTTCCTTGGGATTTGCACGCTCGACCGAAATGCTTTTGATCCGGTCCCGATTCCCACGTATTCCGCGCGCGATCCGCATCGTTCGCGTTCCATCCTGCCTCCCCAAAACGGCTACCGCGTAGAAAGAAACCGTAACGGTAGCTCCTCTTCAAGAAAGCAACCGGTACAGAGAGCAAGGTATCCGACAAGGGGGTTGATCGAAGCTACTCGGTCGTTTCAATTTCAACGTTTCCCAACATTAAAGGTTCCGGGTGCCTCAACGAGTACGTTCATCGGTCGATTAAACTTCTTGAGACTTTTATGACGTGGATTCCTACGAGCGGGGCTATTAAACGGCTTCTTGGCAGGAAAGATCTTTTCAGGAAATCATTCTGAAGCTTCGTCGGCATTGTGACGCGCTTCGCGGGAAATTTCAAGGTGCTCTGGTGCAACGATCGAGAATAGAATACTAGAAACGCTGCGTGGGCCCTTCCTACCGTTAGGTCCATGAATCATTCTCTAAAATAATGTAGCTTTCGTTCGGAATAGTGAAACGATTCTTCGATAGTTTGAAGGTAAGGTGTGTTGACAGGGTGTGTGAAAATTTGAGGGACATTAAAGCGCATGGTTGCACTGACGTCGATGGATGACTTCCTCCTTCGAGATAAAGCTTATTCACCAATGTATAGCTCAAGTTAAATTGTCGGGGTTCGACGTTGGAACCTTATCAATCTTCTATAATCTTTCTCTATCTCCCTGGCATGGCCAAATAGTTTCTACAGAAAAATTGTTTAATGGTTGTACATGCAACCTTGCACAACTTCACCCACGATTTCACTATTAATTTGTGTAACCCAGAATTACATTTCATACACTTTAGAGCTTGATAATACCTAAAATAAACTACCTAACTATTAGTTTACAACTTTTCGTTAACGAATCTGTTTGACCCTGTATTTCTCCAAGTAAACGAGTTAATCCTGTTCCTAGTGGCCCTATAGGCTCCCTGAGCGAAAAATGCACGCTAACCGCGAACAAAAAACTTCGGGGGGACCGATTCACGGCAAAGTGGCGCGCTATCATGGCTAGCGGGAAGTTTTCAGCTCCCTTGTCTCCGTGTCAAATGTAAGAGGCGAGGAACAAAAGGTGGAAGAAAAATTTTACACGAGGGAGGTGTCGAAGGGCGAAAAGGGATCTAAGAGACAAATGTCCGCGAAAAAGGAAGGCCATCGTCTCATTGTTCCAAAGTGCACGTTACAATGAGCGCCCGGGTTCGCATTTACTCAGCGCCGCGGTTGGCCGTCTCATTGGCTGCTTCCTCGCTAAAAACACCGCCACCCATGTGAGTCTTTCGTCAGCGTTTCGCATTGTGCGGCGGCCATTGTTCCTGGTCGCGCCAGGTAACGTGCGGTTAAAACAACAGACTCTTGGTAAGAGATGAGAAAAGTTGCATGAATACGTTTTAAATCCCGCCATTCGAACGTGGATCGGTCTCGTTTGGCGATCGACCCGCCTCCATTTGCAATTTTCTTTTCATCGAACGAACCCGCAAAATGGGATCCGTATATCCCGACGAATCGAATCTCTTGCTCAACGTCACGGTCTAGAGTTCCTATATTTTACATTCTAGATAATATTTTCAGATTCTAATCTTTCGATATTTTTTGTTGGGGATTGGATAAAACGGAAACGTAGCGACAGATTGATAAATTGTTGCGACGGTGACAATTACATCTAAACGAAGAAGAGAATACATTAATATAACACTATGTCCGGAGATCACATGATACGGTCGAAACATCACGTGCTGTTAAACGCTTATAACGGAGAAACATCACTGATAGGCCGAGCCGTTAATTAACCCAAACACATTGTTCTCGGGCGTCGTGACTACAATTATCTTTTTCACGAGTGCATTGATGGGTAATCATGAATTCTTCCCAACGTTTCCATTATTAATTCTTAGAAGCGATCGTTTCACTACTCGGTTAAATTGTGTTCACAAAATCAATGTTTTAACGAATAGAATGCAACGTTAATATTGATTTTTGCACGACAGTTTGAACAATTTTTTATTTCAGAAGATATTTATCTATATGTTTGGAAATTTTTCAACGAATCAGAGCTCGAAGCTTATGATTGAAATATACGATTTTGGAGGCGGAATGGCTCCATTCGTTTGATGTATTTCGATGGAAAATCGATTCGAGGATTAAAGTTTCCAGCGGAATCGAAAATGTTCACTAGTACAGAGCAGCCGTCCCATAGCAATTTTAATGCAATCGGCGTCTGCCATCGCTGACCCTCCTCTGTTAAGTAGAAGGCAGACGTTTGATCTCTGTGAAGGGGAGTCGGCTCTTGATATACCTGCATGAACGAACAGAATTCAACCGTGGCGCCATGCATTTCGCCGTGTCTTGGCCAAACAAGTGGTTCGTTCCCTCCCCTGTGATTTCACAGCGAACGAGTCGCTGACTTGCGAGTTCGACCCGCGGCGATTAAAGCCAGGAAAGCCCTTTCTTCGATCGGGATCGAAGCTTCCGAGTCGCTCGAGCTACCCTCGAGCACCAGTTTCCAAAGACGGTCCAGTTTCCGTAGGAAAATTGCAGGCGTGCTACGTCCAAGAACCTCCTCATTAGGGACGGTCGATTCTTACAGGAAAAACAATCGATTTTTCATTCGAATCGCTGGGAATCCGTTCCCTCGAAGATCGCGTTCTTAAAAGTCGATGTGAAAATTGCCCGTTTATATCTTCGTGTTATTCAATTTGAACAGCTGTTCATTATGGAAATAATTAAAATTCTGACGAGTGTTTCCACGTGCTCGTAAGCATCGGCGAAAAGAGTCTGTTGGCTCCGAAAGGATCGATTTTCCTTTGCTCGGTGAAAGTGCTCTGCGTTTCACTCTCCGTAGTTGAATGGCTCGATCGTCTTTCTCGATGATTCATCGGGCGATCAGCGACTGACAATTAATTACCACGCTAAACGAGTTTCGATAGGCACGCAGAAAACAAGTGGCTCGTGTGTCACATGCCACTGGCGATATTCGCCGCGTTGTTTATGAGGCCGATGTATCAGCTGAACTGGAGCAGATGAATCCAGTTACGATATCGATGTTTGCATAATTCGTCACGTCTTGGTGATCTTCGTATCTGCGCTGCAGGGGGTGGAGGACGAGTTGCGAAAAATTGAAAGAAACATGCACGTTCTATTTTCTTTTTCCCCCTTGATCCATTGTGTGGCTTTATTTATAGAACGTTCGGAAGAATATTTCTTTCTATTCGCGATAGACACGATCCATTTTCTTTCTTTTTAAAATGTATAAAATAAGATTTCCCGTTATTTAGATTAGAAACGAGAATATTCATTTCTTGCTAAGAGATTTGCACGAATCGTCGAAAACAACATGGAGATACTCGATGGTCCTATTATTGAGCGAAGATGCAAAAATTGGAAGACTACCATCAACAGTTGAATCAACAAAAACAACTGTGACCCAGTTTTCTATCTACGAGGATTCAGCTTGTCTCGTTAAAACGCTAAACGGAGGAATCGAGATGCAAAACCGGGGTAAAGCTCTCAAAAAATTCGGCTACTCCGATAACCGTATCCTCGACTTATCTCCAATTGCATGAAATTTCGCGCTGAAACGAAGACAGCTGTTCCCGCTTATCGAAATTCAAGGAACAAGAGACTGAATAGTTGTCTCCGCAGATTTATGGGTTCTGTCTAGTACCGAGGTGAAACTAAATCGACTCCTCTTCGAAATCTGTCTCTTAAATATCAGAAAATCAATTTCTCACTTTATATCATCTTCAAATGTTTACGTTCTTGGAAATATGTTCGTCAAGTGGATTATGAAAATTTTATGTCAGGATGTACAAATCTCTAAACTCCGGTTTTGTGGAAATAACTTCTTTCAAACTGTACGAAACGTAAACGTTGTAACGTTATAAATATAAAGTGGACTTTGAACCGAACTTCCCATTTAAATACTTTAACATTACACTTTTTCTCTAAAGAACTTGTTTCCAGGTTGTTGACATGTTTCGAGGAAGAAATGATCGATCGGCTCGGAGTTTTATGTGCATATAAAGCAAATGACTCACTGTTATTCATGACTGAAATCAGCTCGACGTTCGCGGAGTTCTGTTCGCAATAAAAATCACATCGCGTAGTCGCGAAATTGCATAACGTCAGTTTTCTAAATTTGTGGATATCTGTGTTAATTTTGGTACGAACGATAACCATACTTGTACAGATTCAGAATGTCTATGACCTTTTCATTGCGGATGACCAGACCGAGAGTTATCGTATCAAACGCGAACGCTTCTTTCGAGCTCATTACGCAATAATGCGTAACGTCAACAAACTGGATAATTTTCGAAAAATTCTGATTATTCGACAAGACTCGTGTATAAATATCGATGAAAATATTTGCAACCGGGGGGTCTAATAGTTTCCACGAAAAAAAAAATTCACAAATATCGTCCTAGTTTTAAAACCGAGAATTAAATGGTGTCAAAGAGATTCGGTTCGTTTTGGATGTTTCGGCTGGCAGATTCGTATCAATCGAACTCAAAGGAATACTGCCGCTGGAATTCTTCGATTCGCATATGAAATATCTACGATTTGGTGGGGGCAGTATGTTCAAAACACTCGCTGGGTCAATCGGCCGAGCGAAATGGGTTAAACGCAGCAAGGTAAATAGCTGCGATTGATTTCGCATTGTAATGTCGGAAACTAGGGGAATCGAACTCGAGGATATGAGCGCAAGCATGCAGATTAGGGTCGGGACTCGTTATCGAATTTTTCTCTGCTCGTTCCAACGGTTCGACGATTTAAATATTTTTAGTGAATATAACTCGAATATCTCGTATATCGAGCAAGCGTTTCAAATTATACAAATCAAAATCTTCAAATTCATTAACGATATTACATACGGTATCTGTATTTTACATAAAATATATTTTTAACAGTTTAAAATTAATTGGATTCTTTTCAAATCTCAAAATACTTAAAAAATTCCTCCAAGAATGTTGAAAAGTATTCACGTTCAAATACCTCCAACGAGACGATATAATGTCAGCTTCGAATAATTGGGTTGGCGAACCGACTGGACGTTCTACGGGCTCGCGATCGGCCATAGATCCAAGGTAGATCCCGGGTCGATATGCAAATTGTTCGAACGTGCGTACAAACGCGTTGCCGCGGCGAGGCGTCGATAAACAATAGCGCGATAGAAGATAAGAGAAAAAGCTCGCCTGGGCGTCTTCCCAGTTCTAGTCCCTACCACTCTCACCCCTGGCCCCCCCACCACGTTCCGGCAAGATAGTCACCGGTTCATCCTTTTTCAACTCCGTGCGCGTATCGTTCCGTCTCGCTTCGGGTCTTGAGCATAATAACGTGACGTGGTTAACGGACGACGTTAGTCAGTACTCGCGCCGTCGCATCGATCGTATCGAGAGGGCCTCGAATAATTGCGTAACCAGTCATCTACGCACGCACTCGCACAAAACAACATTGTTCGCATGTACATGCAACGCCAGTAAACTCGCATCGAATCGACGCGCGCCGGTGCATCGCGTCCGACCGCGTAAAAATCGAAATAAATCGAACGGATCGATATATCCGACTATCGATCCGCGTCTCGAGCGCTGTCGTGCGGGTAGATTCAAACACGAAGTCGTTCGTAGCAAGCTGTACGACACCGGTTAACATCGACATCCTCCGTTTTTCCGGTACCACGAAGAACTCGAGGGAAAAGTCAGAGACGGCCCACCAGGAGAGTCCAGGATGACGATCAACGCGTCGTCCATGGTGATAGATTATCTGGTATTCGTCGGATGCATCATAATCTCGTTCATCATACCGTTATGGGGCAAACTGCGAGGAAGTCGGAAGGAAGGTACCAAGGCGGACTATGTCTTCGCCACCGGGAACGTGTCCATGGGCGCCATGATGCTGTCCATCGCTCGGGGGACGCTGGGAGTCAGGTCCTTCCTGGGCTACCCCTCTGAACTCTACTACAGGGGCAGCGCCATGTGGGAGACCATGTACGGCATGCTGCTCGCGTATCCCATCGTGTGCTTCGTCTTTGTTCCTGTTTACTACAGCCTCGGCATCACGTCCGTCTATCAGTACCTGGACATGAGGTAATTATCTTTTGCCAATCCTCTTCTTCCTGGATGGGAACATTTTTTCATGTGTCCGCAAATATTGCTAGCTTGGAATCATCAGCCATTTTCTGGTCCTCATTTTTATAGACTGGCAGATCCATTGCCAAGAAGCTTGATTTTCAGGTGTCACGGTATTGCCAATATTGTTTGTAAAAAATGAGGTTTTTTCTGTCACAGTTACAAACAGTTTGGTCCCAGTGCAACGTGATAAATCGTGATAGACTTTGCTACTGGAGCCGTTTGAAATAATATTTTCATTTCAAAGTAGCTTGAATAGATCGTTAGTAGTGCTGATTAATTATTCCATGGAGCCTTTCAAGCACTTGAATTTTTGCATAGTGTAATTCGTATTGAAATAGCATGCTTTGAAAAATGATGTAACAATGCCGAAAGATCAGTGTCATACATATATGCATGACGTGGCATTGAACGTGTTAAGAAGTTGCATCAGATCGACTGACTTAAAAATGATGTAGCCTTTGGAAATTTTCAAAATCCAAAAATGATGTAGCCTAGGAAAGATTATCGAACACGAAATCATCACCAGAATCTCCCGTTTTAAATATTTCCCCGCAATTTCAGTAAACGCATCCGTGTGAGAATATTCGAACTAACTGAAAAACCGAACGAAAAGGTTAATGTATTCTAAATCTTCCCGCGTCTCCTCGACCATAACGATCTACAAAGTTTCCAGCGACGAATCTAATTCAAAGTCGCGTCTGCTCAGTCTGTTTTCTTATTTCGATCTGCATACATTACGAAGTTTGATCGATGCTATAATTACATGTAAATTAACGAAACAGTAGACCGCGCGATTCGTATTCTCCGGGTATAATCTCTCGCATAAATTGCTTTCAAACTTTCCGTCTGCGAGGTGTCACAGACCCGATGGAAATTATGTTGCCACAATGGCGGAAGAAATATCACGATGGAAATTGCATTGACACGACGGAAGATGAAATATCACGACGCCCGGCAGAAACAACGCTCCGCTCGACCGTCGAATTCCCGGCCTTTCTTAAACATGAACTCCCCGCACGGAATTTACAACCTCCAGTTTTCGAAACGTCGCGAATTAATCCGACCCGATGGAATGTTAATATCCCCCGTTTGCCCGGAACGGAAGCTCCGAACGGGGACATCAACTTTCATGAAAGAAGAAATCTTTTTCCTCCGATCTGTTTTTTTATCAAAACGACGACACGTGACGGTTCGCAGAAAAATTTACATTCACCGCGGTACGCGTTGCTCGATACCAGTTCGGTTCTCCAAAATCGAAACTGTTTTACATTTTCTGTTCGCTTCGCAGCGCCGCCATAAATCGTGGACAAGCCACGCGTCGGAACGATACGACTGCACGGCTCCTCTGCATAAAGAAATCCCGTTGCGTCGCTGTCAAAATTTTGAAACATCACCCAAAACTTTCGAATTTTATTAAATAATCGTAATCATAGCACGCGAACTTTGAAAAACAAACTATCTACATTCTCCTTCCTGGAATAATTATTCGTTGTGTAACAGTAGCATAAATACTTTATTTGCTCGTTTCGACAAGTATTCATTAGATGTTAATTGACAAACTACGCGAAACTGTTGCAGATACGTCATTCCATTAACTATTAGATTTATTATAAGCATGACACGAATGAATTTTAATTACAAGCGTCGATTTTGCATGTCTCGTGTAAAAATGGATCGAAAAGTTCCGAGCCATTTTGTAATTTGATGCTTCGTGGCCGAGATACAAGCAATTAAAGTTAACCGATATGATTTTTGGCGCACACGTTTGCGCGCGAAAACTTTGACTGCTCGTATCTCGATAACAAAGCCTCAGAATGCAAAATGGAAAAGAACTTTTCGATTTATATTGTCATCTAGAATCCATCCCAATGGGGAATTCCACATTTTTTTAAAATGATCTTTCAACGATATGGCCTTCATTCATTGACTTTGAATCCCATAACACGTCACATTTGCGAATCGACTATTAAATTAATGTTATTCTAAAACTGAACGGCATTGTTACTTCGATACCACGCGAGCCTTGAGTCTATCTTTGCGCTTAACGATTATGTCCGGTGAACAGACCTCTTGCAATTATGCTAATTCCCCAGGTTCAAGTCAAAGCTAGTCAGATGCCTGGCGAGCTTCTCGTACGTGATACGTAGCCTGCTGAACTTGGCCGTCACGATATTCACGCCATGCGTCGCTCTGAAGGCTGTGATAGGGCTGCCATACTGGGCCAGCATCATCGGGATCACGACGATATCGGTCATTTTCTCCGTTATGGTACGTACGATATCGAATAGAAACACTTTGCGCGCCTCGATCGCGAACGAACCAAACCTCCGACGAAATCGAATCATCGTCCGGCTCTGAAAACTTTTCGTCGACGTCGACGCTTTGGATAAGTTCGGTGGGGAAATTTCGTTGAAACGATGGAAAATCTATTCTTCCGATCCTGCGGGGCCACTTGGAAACTCGGGAAGAATCGAATTCGTAACCGTGAAAAATTTCGAAAAGTTTCATTTTATGGAGCACGGTGATTCTTAACCCTAAACTGTATTTGGCTTTCGAACAAAATTCTGCTTTCGCTAAAGACGTGGGAACGCATATTTAAACAGTTTCGTTAGGAATGCGAACGTTATCGATTATTCTTGATAAGAAACGTCAGTAATAAAAAACACGTGTGTCGTGGAATTTTTTTAATAAATTACGATCGTTTCGATCTGTCATTTCTTCGACGAATATTACGCGATCGACAATCTTTGATTTGTATGAACTTCGTACTGAGCCTCGAGGAATATTGGACACGTATTTTATTTTATATGGTACTAGGGGTGAGCACTAGGCCTAGGGTTATTTGGTGAATTTTTCTCTATGGTTTCATCTGTTTCGTTTGTAATAAAATATCGATTAGCAAAAAAAATTGTTAGCGAACCTCGAGAGTCGTTATATAATCATGTACGTAAATGATTATTCACCAAAGACGACTAAAATCACAGTCGAAGAAGCAATGTTTGATAGATACTGACCAGCAGATATTTTAATGAGTTTTTTAAGCATTGGAGATTGTCGGTTGTGTAATGACTCTTGTTATTGAACGAGCGTCTAATTGATAGTGCCGACGTAAAGAAGAAAGCTTCCTCGAGTGTGAAACATTTAAATCGTTGTCGCGAGTCCACTGTTTACGAGGAGGGGGGTCATCAATTATTCAGAATTCGAGAGAGGCACGCTGTTTGCCCATTTCCGGCCGAAAGGATCGTAAATACGACACACGTGACCGTAAAGTTTCTCGTAAAGAGCGAGGGCAGGGAGGAGACCGTCGCCTGAAAAGCAACGGCGTCGGTTAATTCGCAGGCGTCGCGACGAGGTCACGATTTAATTCGACGTCAAATCGGTGTTCGCGTGCGTCATCAAGAGCGGTTATCAATCTCGTTAATCGATTTCGATCACTTTTAGCAGATTTTGTCCCATTAATTCGAAATTGATACGTCCAGGTGCTTTTTAAATTACTCGGGACTAAAATTTTCTCTTCGATCAGTTTATATTTATTACCAACCGTTAACCCCCAGCATCCTCCGCGTTAAATCGTTTTTCACGCGATCGAAATATGTAAATAAAACTTCCGTTTGTTTATCGAAAACTTGTATACGAAAGAAAAGTTTTTAAATTTATTTTTCAGTGATGGTAACAGAATGATATTTATTCGATTTCAGGGAGGACTGAAAGCAGCCATTCTCTCGGACGTTATTCAAGGTGTGACGATGCTCGGTGTTTCTCTAGTGATAATCGCACACGGCGTGGCTGATATCGGTCCCAGCAAAGTCTTGAACGTGACGTACGAACGAGGCAGACTGGATTTCTTCAAGTATGTGTAAACATTCAAATCAGAGTGCTTCCGAAACATCAAACTCGATAATACTGCGAATACGACGGTATTCGATACTCGGTGTCGATCCATTTTAAAGCAGAACAGAGTAAAATTCACATTTAAATGGAAATTTCGAATAACGAATAAAGTTCTATCTCTCGAATCCTGCGCCGCGAATAGAGGAAACATAATTTCACTTATTACGAATTTCGTGTCATAAACGGGGGTGACTTTGCGCTCGAAGGGGTCCTCGATGCTCCCTCGTTTAACTACGGGAAACGGAGCAGCGGTTGTCGTTGAAATCAGTAATAAAATTACCCGACATTCGTCGCGTCGTTCCAGTTCAAAACATCGTTCGTACGCGGGAACAAAGAGGGAAGAACAAAGTAACTCCGATTTACGGCACGGAAATGAATGGGTTACCTGCAGAATTAGCCTCGGTCTACATTTACTTCGAAACTTCTTGAATGGTTAAACTGACGTCACCCTTCTCGGAGTGCTTCCTGTATCGAGGCGTCTTAAAGAGAACTGTTACGAATTCCGAGAAAATCGTCGCTAGTTTTCGTGACTAATAGCCTCGATCTTTGCTTTCAGTATGGATCTGGATCCAACGATACGCGTCACTACAATGTCGGCGACGTTGGGTCAACTATTCATGAGCCTGTCCATTTTTGGCTGTCAACAAAACTTTGTGCAGAGGTATTGCAGCATGTCTAGTCAGCGCAAAGTTGTCAAGTGAGTAAAAATTTATTTGAAAATATATTTATATTTGTCATTGTATCTTGGTGGGAGTGGTATCGATGAATTGGCGAGATTTCCACGGTGAAAATGAGTCCAAACACGACTATGTTTGGAATATTTTTTATTATACGTGCTTGAAATTATTTTAGAATTTTGGTTTTTCGTTTGAGCAAGGGATAATTGTAAATGGTGCGAATGGGGTCGTGTTTGGACTCATTTTCATCGTGAGAATCTCACCTATCTGTTGGTGATAGTATCAAGAAAATAGCGTCTAGATAATTCTAATTTCAATTTTCATATTCTCACATTCCCGAGTCAATTTTGATGCAGAAGTTCCAATATTAAAATGTGTACAGTATTCGCCGAACAATGACTGATTGCATGACTTGTTCGTAAACAAATGATAGTCTTCCTACATTGTTACTATCATGTTCACGAAAGCTATTCCAAGAACCCTTTCATCTTAACTCGACAGGATAAAGTATTCCTCTAAAGATCGTGGACTTTGTTCGAACCGCCGACAGGCATATTTTGCTCGTCGAAACAATGGAACAACGCCGTGATATTGTAATCGTCGTAATTAAAAACCAATATTGTTACTCGGATAATAACATCATTTTGATTCGCAATGTTTGTACAACAAATGGAATATTTCGATTGGACTTTTCTCTTTTAATGATACTCATCGGATATTACAGGAAACGTACGATACAAAGAGTATGTTGAACAACGAAAACTGCAGTTTGGACGAGTGTGGTGAACAGCTAATATGTGTTACGCGCGAGTGTGTATTATACCACGTTGTGGAAAGTATTAGGAAACGAAAGAAATGAAACATTTTTATATAGACGGTAAACAATAGCCGGCTCCACATTTTACAACCTACACGCGTGTCGTACATTCTAGCTGTTCCTCGAAACCCGTTCAAAACTGCACTTTTCGTTATTCAACATACTCCCCGTATTCTATGCAAATATTTTCTGTAACATACGATGAGGATTACTTCAAAAAAAGCATGGAACGTAATATCTCACTCGAATTTCAAATACCACCGATAAAAATGAAACCGTTAAACAAACAATGCGTTTTTTATTTATCTCGTGCACCCGTCGGTTTAAAAAACCACACATGACTACTGCGAGTTGCATCTTAAATTGCTTAATATAAATTGAATGAATCGTATAAAATTATGGATTTATATTCTACATTTTATTTATTGATAAAAATGGTATTCCAATATGGTATTCTGATAATAGTAGTATAAAAATAGTAATAATAATGGCAGTACATTTAAAAGATATTAAATATCGAGTAAAAATGGAAGTAAAGTTTAGGAATAAAGATAAGCTTCTGTTATTACCCGGAACCACAAAAGCAGCGAAATAAAAATGCAAGGAAATAATATACGGTTAAAAATTTAAACGTTACAAAAAAAAGAAACATGGAAACTGCAGCCTCGGTCCATTTTCTAAAATCGCTTCAGCAGTATTATTGTAGTACAATTAAAACTGAGAATCGTTGGCAATTCCGGCGAGATTAATTCTTCGATTCCCGTTGATTATAAACATTTTTCACACGCTTTAGCAGGAAATGAGTGCACTATCGCGTACGGGGCCGTATACATTAGCAGTAAAATTGCAAAATTCTTGGAGGAACCGAGTGTTTATCCGAAATCTGCACCGTCCTATCCGTAATTTGGCCCGAAATTACACGGCTTTCGGGGCCGGGTCGTGAATACAGAAATTTCCAGAATCACAGAGGCTTCCCTTCGTACGGCTTCGAAGCACGCACCGCATTAGCATTTTACGCGTCAGATATGTAAACAAGTATCGCGGAGATAAACCCACGCGTTACGACGTGCAAAGATTAGCCCGGAAACACGCACGAGGAACCGTCCATTTTGGAATTGTTCCTACCTAACGAAATCCACGGAACGAACCTTCTAATTTATCCGCCCGAACTGAACTTGTTAACCACTTAACGCTCCAACGCGAATGTACTATACATACAATTTATTTTATTAACTCTCGACTTCGAAATCATCGACGTTAACGACTTGCGTAATTATGGTATGGAAATTACAAGAAACGTAACTGGATAAAGGAGGCTTAAAAATAGATAAAATAAAACCGAGTGGGGAATGCAGTACCCTTTTTACAGTGTACCAAAATTGAGACCCATTAACTTTGAGTCTTAATTTATCAAAGTACAATGGTCTTTGCTATTCACATTCTTATTATGGAATCTTTCGATTCGTCCAATTTTTAGTGAATAAAAAGAAGCGGTATTGTAACGTTGGTAAAAAGGACGAGCGTTGTCGAGTGTTCTGTCGTTGGGATCGAGATTCTAGCTACAGCCCCGGAAGCGGGGAGTTTGGCGCGGGGGTGCAACGAAAGTTTGCGGATCACTTAGTCGCCGTGTATACACGGATCGACTGTTTCCCCTCGAGCCAGACGACAGGATGAAATCCTTCCGGAGGCGATCTCAAAGAAATTCGGACGCGTTCCGCCATCGACCGTTTCCTTTTGTATTCCTCAAGTTCCAGTCTTCTTTTTTCGACTATTATCGAATATTTGTAAATACGGAATGCAATTTTACATTGATCCATTGCTCGATTAATCTTAGAAACTGGGTCAAAAACTTGTTCTGTCATTACTCTCCGAACACTACTGCTTCGAAATAAAGCATACACAAAAATCGATTACAAAAATTCTGTATCTATGAATGTTGTGCGTGTGTATGAACGTTGGCCTCTGATTTTCTTTATCCGAAGACTTATCAGAAATTCATTAAATTCCTCTTTTTTATATTCGGGGACATATTTATCAGAATATTTGGTGTGATAACTCCCACATAAAAAATTCTGTGTGTGGATGTGTGTCTGCATGTTGACTTACATATTTTGTATATTGACGTAAAATTTCGTTAAAATATGGAATGTATTCCCCGACGAGGAATAGATTTTAGACCAATACCAGTGTCACCAAATCATCCTCGTTGGTTTCTAGTTGGTTCTGACGAGTCAATTGTCCCGCGTGACTCGAGCAGTCGTCGTCTGGGGCTGCGTTTCAATTAAAAGGTCAACCGCGCCTGGAGTGATCGAGTGAGTCACCGTCACGCTGCCGAGACGCAAGAATTTTTGCCACTTGTTATCTTATCGGTTATTATTATGATCCAACAGCATGCGTCGCGTGACGGTGCATGATAACCAAGTCACTCGGCATTATGCAAATCGTAACACTTATCGAGCCCGTCATTTTCATTTCTGATTGGCCCGTAATAGATCGTCCTCCTCCCCCGTTCGGGTTTATCGAAGTCACGGGACAAACAACGATCGTTCATCGATCGTTTATGGACTTTCTTCAACGATCACCGCGGGTTCTGCATGCGACAGCATCAACAGCCTCTCTGTCCACTACAGCGAATACAAAATTATTTGCACGTCCAACTTTTTTGGTGAAACCTTGATTATTTATTTGTATTTAATTAACTTCAGCTTTTCGAGTGAAATACCGGCGTCGCGGGGCCCGTTGGAAATTTTTACGCGCGGACATTTACCGGAGAGTAAACCGTAAAAAACGACACGCCGCGTTGTCACGATAAAAACGGTTCGGACAAATGAATTTTTATTAGAATATAATCGCTGCACGTCGCGATAAAAGTGTCCACCGAATGGATGTTTATTAGACTATAATCGGGAAAACACGCGCGTCCAGTCTTTTTGTCATAGTTTCCACGGTTTATCGCGCGGTCTTTGTAAAACACACATCGAAGTGTTCTCTTATAAAATTGTCAAATATCAAGAAAATATGAAACTCGTGGAATATTTCATTTTCGAATGGATCTCCAAACTTTTGATGGTTAAATTTAATCTGATCTTATTTGATGCTTTTATTATTGTACTATTTTATTTCTGAAAGGTTGACGATAACCCAACGTGCCTATAGTTTCTACTTTGTCGTTCCAGCGGTCTCGCATGGAGATTTTACGTTTTGGAACGGTTTCCAATTCGCGAACTTCTGTCGGCACTTCCCGTTACCACATATTCAATGAGTCCTTTCCCGCGACAGAAGGGACGGGGTTAAATGGCAAGCAGCCAAACTTTTATCGGTAGATACTCTGCCCCGGCTAAGGTCAACATTATCAGCTCTACTATGTAAGGAACGGCCATACGGTTCCTGTTGATAAAATCTACTCGCCTCGAGGGTCCGTCCGATTTGTTACACCGAGAATAAACATTGATCGACGAGCCATTATACGTGGATATGAATTAATTAAACCGGGACGCAATTCGGGAATATTTGCCCACTCCGAATTAGTCTTACACCCGGGAACTTTCACGTGCGCGGCAAAATCGATCAAAATAGTTACACTTGGGGTTTCGAAACGACCTATTATATCAGCATAATGGGAGAACTCGTTAGTACCACATTCAGTTCGAACTAGAAGACATTGAAATACTTTGAAATAGAGAAAACAGTGACAAAATTATAAGACATTGTAGCAAGATAAAAGAAAGCTTGCAACACATCCAGACAATCCCAATTCAGACAATGACTGTACGCTTACCATAATAGCTGTATCATTATCTATTTCATAGAACACGTCCTAGTTCGCGACATAGTAAATCTTCTAATCGTTCACAGTCACAACACGGTTAGATAAGAGTTTCAGTTAACGATAAGCCTTTCTTCTTCATAATTCCATAAATCTGACGAGTTCCTTCTTTCCAGAACAATGATGGCCAACATACCGATAATTTTCATCATCTTCTCCCTCTCGTGGGTGGTGGGGATGGTTATCTTCGCTAACTACGCGGACTGCGACCCGCTGACCCTCGGCTACATATCCAAGTTCGATGAGATCGTGCCGTTCTACGTGGAGGACAAGTTCCTGAGCGTCCCTGGACTCCTGGGTCTGGTGATGGCCACTCTGTTCAACAGCGCTTTGACGCTTGCCGTCTCTAACCTGAACTCCCTGGCCACGGTCACGTACGAAGACTTCCTCAGTCAGATACCTTCGATGAAGGACTTGAAAGATAAGCAACAGCTGCATGTGATCAAGCTGATCAGCGGTATCTACGGCGTGCTGATAGTGGGCGTCAGCTTTCTGGTGGCAATGCTGTCGGGCGTGATCGAGTCGTCGATGCTGATTACGTCTGCGACATCGGGCCCCCTGTTAGGCGTCTTCCTATTAGCTATGCTGATACCGTGTGCCAATTGGAAGGGCGCAGCGTCCGGTATGATCTTCAGCCACGTAACCACCATGTGGATCATGTTTGGTCATCTGTCGATCACCAACAACGTGGAGACGTTGCCCCTGTCCACGGAGAACTGTCAGAACGACACGTTCTCGCCGTGGATCACCAAGCCGGGCAACATGGTCTACACCACGCCAAACGTCACCGTGAACGTGACGCAGGGCCTGCTCACCGAACAAATAAGCGACTCGTCGTCGATGGGGGCCGTCGAGTTCCTCTACAGCATAACGTACATGTACTACGCGCTCATCGGTAGCATGGCGACGGTGATCGTGGGCGTTATAGTGAGTCTGATCACCGCCGACCCCAAACGCGACATGTACGAGGAACACCTGCTTCATCCTTACGCGGTGAAGATGGCCAGATACTTCCCCGGGAGACGGAGACTGTACGCTAGCAGCACGCGGCTCAGGAACGAGCGCAACGCTGCCAACGCCACCTCCTCCTCCTCGGTGACCTCGATCGCGAATGGCGTGGGGAAGACAACCACTCTGCAAGGGGTCGTGGACGATAACGGGAAGCTCCAGATCGACATCGGTTACATCGAGAAGCTCAATGCTCTTAAGGCCGTCTCGCTGGACGTGACCAACGAGGTCAACAAAGGTACCAGACTCTGAGACCGGGACGTCATTGGTGATTCAGTGATGGTGACTCCGAAATCGGTGACTCGGTGATATTTCTGTTCCTTGGCGGACTCTCATTATCGGATCGAACTTTGTCGATTTGCTTAACGATCCCCGTGAGCCTGCAGGAGCCGTAGAATTGAAGATGCCGCGTTCATCCTCGGTGTTAGCTTTAGTTAGCGATAGCTTTAGAGTAGCGTGATCTTCACGATTTTGTCAACACGATGCTCGACGATGTACAGGGAGAGAAGGAAGTAACTGTCACCGGGTTTCAGGAAGATACTGGTGAGGGATGAGCGTTTGACATTAAAGGTTGGAGTATTTCAATGTATTTCGCTTGATGGTGGAAGAATGGAAAGGTTGAATGTTGCAAATGAAGTGGTTATTTTTAGGGAAGATTGTTGGAGTCTCTGGTAACTAGATCGTACAGTAATTTTTTGAGTCAAGGATGAACTTTTTATCCTTCTGTTTAGTGTATATAGAAATAATCGAAATTCTTGACCCGGATTTTAATAGGGGCCATTGGCGTAATTTATTTAGTATTTTATTACGAAATAATAAATGGTACATTTGATGGTCGAGATAAATATTTGTAAGCACTCCGCCATATATTAATATACCTAACAATTTTAGGAAACCATTTATTATTTGCAATCCAATACGACCGACGGCAGGATGTTCTCTAACTTCACACTTTATAATCAGAAATGACCAAAATATATCTCAGATGGTATTCAAACGACGTATACCCTGCTAATTTGCATCTTATTTATAGTCGGATGCTTAGAAGTAGTTGCATGTGGTATTTGGTAGTTGTGAAACTACAGAATACTCATTCAGCTTTATCATCGAATACAGAATACACATACATATCTTGTGAATTGGTGAAGCAATCCAGAAACAATGATGAAACTGAATACAATTATTTTTCACTAATACAAAATACAAAACAATGTATTCTGTATTCGACGGGTACTTAGAGTATTTGACTTTCTGTAAATCGCATACTCGCGTGCCTTAAGCTTCAAAGTCTGATTTCATTTACCATTCTACGCTATTGTATTTCGAAAACACTAGAATGGCCACCCAGCAATCTCTTGACGACAGATATTAATAAGAATTTTTCACGCCAGAAAAAAATAATTTAGATTATAGATGATTAATATTTGACAGCATGAATGAATACAAATGAATGATTATATTTGGGTATAATGTCAAGTTGTTCCAGTTCAGTATTTTAGGTATATCTCGATTACCGAATCGTTCGATTTGTCTCTGCTATCGTCGATAGTTGCGCAAATTACTATACGCAAAATTGTCACGTACCTTGTGAGAATGAAACGAATATCGTGGTAATTTATTTTTCACAAATCACCACCAATCGAGATACATAGGACTACTCCTGAAGCCCGTCTGAAAATCCTGCCTGAAACTCATTCTCAGTACCGTTTCGTTCTTCTACACTCTGTACCGTCGAGTCACCCTATAGATCTTGCTCCCGCGTGGACGGGCACATCCCACGCGGTCACTGTAATTCGATGTAGAGAGTATTTCCTTAAACACGTTCGAGCAGAATGTTACAGGGTAGACGCTAGTACAAAGGATAGGCTCGAGGCCTCGTCGAGTCGCTTGAAAACGACACGTGTGCCTGCATATGATGTAAGAACTATATACATATGTGTATATGCGTATACTTAAAAAGAGTAATTGCGTTAGTTAGATTTCAAGGGATTTTATCCCTGAGCCCCTATCGCGGTAGCTGTAGAGTATTCTGGGAAGCTGAAGGAACTGTCTCTGGATGAAAATCGTGTTCAACGATCAGTATTTTTGGAAAAGTTCGACGTTGGTTAGGATTTTGTACGGTTTAAACCAATGGTTTAAACTAATATAGTACTCGTTTCTTGCGATTGAATCATCAGAGTTCACTCAAAGGAAACGTGAACAGAGGCGGGAGGGAGGGACGTTGCAACTATCCGTACCGCAGATCGATGCAAGAAGCGAGGCACTATAGTGGCGTTGCTATCAAGAACACATATTGTTAGTTTGTTGTTCGCAGGCATTCTTTACGGCTTGCCACGATACAAACGGTGGCATTTATCGACGCAACGATGCGTCGCGACTACCGCCGAACCGATTCCCAATCTCTCGTTTGCTTTCCCTTCGACGTCCCTTTATTCGTCCGGGCTACGAGACTGACGGCCACTTCGATCGACGAGCTTCATACGCGAAGCACTTAAGAAAACGTGGTTTCGAATTCGAGGAACCTCGCTCTAACGTTTGCGAGCCCCTTATACATAGTTTCGCAAATTTGCCATACGGACACTGTACGTTATACGTACACGCGCGTGAAATACTCATTGTTCAAAGTCGGGGGCGGGGCCAGAGGAATTCTGAAACACGAACGTCCAAACGCTCGTTTGTCGATGACTATTAGTCGATACGAGCAAGTCTCCGGACTGGTTAAACGTTCGAATTATTTTAATAAAAATCACACATTACTAATCGTTTGTATATAATATTTTTGCTTTAGAAGCAAAGTTAGCCTCGAACACATTGTCGGGCTAAATTGTTTGAGCGTCCCGAATCGAATAAAGACTTGCCCGAATCGATTTCTAGTACGTCCACCGACAAAAAGAAACGCATAATAAAATTTTCACGAGGATCGAATTCAGGAAGATTCCGATAACACTGATTCGTCCCGTTTTATTCGCCAGAGTAACCGAGAATTACGTTCCACGGGATTCTCTCCGAAGCAGGAGAAACGTTCGTCCTCGGCGTTTGATGAATCGGATACGAAAGGAATTGACATTTGAATTCAGGTCCCGAGGAATGAAATTCTTGGCGCGACGCGCGCAGAGTTCCAAGAAGGCTGTGTCTAAACCCGCCCCCGCGTTAGCGTGTAATAAAAGTATTGAATCGTGATAAGATTGCGAGGAATCAAGCGGATGTTAATGCGTCCGTAGCGTCGAGCATCGGATTCTTAAGGTCAGAGTTTCCCTCGCGACGGATGTCAAGAAGTCGCAATCACGCGGAACAACGTTCGCTCGGTGTGCGTGCGCTGTGTGCGTGTGTAATTTTCGTGTGTCCCCATCGGTGACGGCGGGGCCTGCGCTCTCACGATATTAATAAGTTTTATATGTACTTCCTAGACTAGGCGACTATTTTTATAACGATAGCGAGTAGCGGCGTTAACGATGTAGATGACGTATGGATCTGTACGAAATACTGTGATGCATACAAATATATAACGTTTTATAAGTGTTCTGTTGAGGAATCACGTCTTATTCGTTCTTTCATACCCCAAATAATCATCGCGAATCGATTAGATTGTTCAAATTTCCCGCCTAAGTGCTACGACAATGAACTCCGACGGTAATGTAGTCCTAATCGGTCGATAATATCGTCGTACTTGAACAAATAAGTAAAATATTCTAGAAACAATGTCATTATTCTTTACAAATTAAGAATCTGATACACCTTATTGATCGAAGATCGAGTTATCGATCGACGGATTAGATATCGTTATCGCTTGTATTTATTTATTATTTGTTTTTCACGGTGTAACGAAGACTTCGATCGAAGTTTCCCGAGGATCGGTTGCATCGAAGTTTATTCCGCGAACGACCATTAAAAATCAGCGTCCATTCGTCGCGGGGGGCGAAACCAACCATGAACTCCCATCAATCTAGCGCACTTTATATCGGGAAACCATCGTCGAAGTTCGCCAGAAAGTTTCTCACCGCAAACCTATTGGGCGCGTTGGTGCCGATAAATTTCAACTCGCAAATTTAGTGTCGCGATCGAGGGATCGAATTCAAGGCGGTTTACCAGGAGATCGACGCCCGAATTCCTGGAAACCAGCAATCCGTCAGTATCGCCGAATCCAATCGCGTAATCGTATATTGCACTTGTCGCGTGTATACTTATCTGATCGTTGGTTCGCGAGAAAAGTCAGATTTTCATTAACAAAATGGAAAGAATTGAATTTGAATTTAAACTAAAATTGCCCGGGGCTAAGTTAAATTTCGATGTATGTCGATTAATGGGCGTATTTCCGGATTGTAAGAGGTTAAAGGCTTCTCTGGAAATCCGGATAGCCGTCAATGAAGATAGTGGCCCCTGGAAAGGAGCAACATCGACACTATCGGTCGTCTGACAGCCAAGAGCAACGGGATCTAGTTGCAACGATCAGTCAAGCCTGAAGCAAGGATCGAAGAAGAACGTCGATTCGTCGTTGCTCTGTTTTTCTCGACGACGATTCGAGATTTCGAGACCGAGGTTTCGGTGTCCGTTCTCGACGTCGAGGATCGTAACATCGCTCTTCCCGATTTTCCAATCGCGATCGACGAAGATACGGCTGGGATATCCGATCCCGCGACTCGATCCGGCAGCAATCGGAGCAGAAGGTGATCTCTGGAAGCAGAGGCGAGTCTTCCGGCGCAACGTCGATGACACAGTGTAGTCCATCATGGCAGTGGAGTCGAGGTAAATGTGTTAGAAACCGCGATCGAGCCACGTGGCCTACTGTCATAAATTTCGTCGAAATATTTTCTATCGATTCAAATAATATAAACCGACCATATTTTAACATTTCAATAATAAGAGTATCGGGTGAACGATTATTCGAATAATAGATAATCGTTAAATTTTGATATGTCTGTAATTTCTTATTATTATCTTTTGTTTATCGTTGAAAATTAGGCGTGTATTGGCTTCAGAGGAATCGCCCAATGCATAATTGAAACTTCTCGAGCTCTCTTCTGTTGAGGAACGCTCCCAGGATGGTAGATCTCGCCCGTGATTGGCGGCGAAGAGAAAAATGTTTCGAATACGGCGAACTGAGGCACGATTTAATGTTTCCGCCCGCGGGACCGATCCGCCTGGCAAACTTGCGACGCACAAAAGGACGTCGCGAGCCCCCTCGGGTGCGAGGCTGTTCCGCGGCCCGCGAAAATGTCTCGGGAAAACTTTCAACGTCATCCTGGACACGTCTAACCCTGTCGCGTGGGATTCCTTCCGCGGAAACGAACGGGAATTCTTTTTAAAAGGCAGTCATCCTTGCGAAATTTCTTCGCTGAAATTTAGACAGAGGACATGAAAATCTCCAATTCCTATTTCGAGATAAGACCAGGACTGCTCGCGAATTTCTCTGTATTGGAATAGTCAAAGATATAAATATTTAAGTATTCGAATGGGTATTAAATATTCAAAGTATATTCGTAGGAATAATAGTCGATGAATCAACCAAATCAAATCCAGACATGACTATTCGAATAATAATATTAGACAAACGCTGTTCCAATGAGGACATTCAAACGATAACGTTCGAATTATAAAGTAAAATATTCGATAAAGTACCTCAATCCGAACTTTTCAATTTATCGCGTGCACCGATCGAGCGCCTTTAGACATTCGTAATATTTGAATAGCGCGGCACGGGGTATAAAAGTTTCGAAAGGTTGGAGGATCCGTGAAAAAAAAATAACAACCGCGGGAAGTTTCCAAAGCGACGAGAAAAAAGTACGCGACTCGTAGCGTGTTTCGTGGTAAATCTTTGGGAGAGATCCTTTCAACCGAACACTCACTTAGCGAACTGTATCCCCGACTACTCGGGAAATACACGGGATTTATGTTTCGCGAGATTCGTATCGAATAGTCGAAGTTGGGGAAAAGATATCGTTTTAACGTCTATGTCGATCGTTCCCGCCGACTTTCTTTCGCCTTTTTGCTCGACGGTCGTGTCAATGCTACGCCGCGAAATGCTTTTTGCACGGTAATTCCGTTACCTTTACACTCTTATATCTAGTTGGCAATATACTTGCATCCCCATTTAATCTTACTATGTACTCTCAGACAGGCTCGTCGTACTAAAACCTAACTCTTTAAAATTTGAAACGATACTAGGACTGACATGGAGGGATCCTAAAGTGTAATGCCAACTTTTTGACGAGCTTTTGTATAATGATAGAGCTCGTAAAACTGAAGCTAACGATCCCAATTTTTGGTGCAGATGATTAATAGTTTACGAGACATTTAATATCAAAGTGTCAGTTTCCCCATTCTCTTCCACAGAGTGGCTCGACGCGTATGCATTGAAGCAGGAATATTATATTAGAGTGAATCCCAATTCTGAAAATCGTATTTTAAGATCTACAGCATATACCTGTCGCGTTGCTCTAACTCAGCTTGACCTGCTTTTCAAAATTTCCAGCCACACTACCGACTATACACATTCCAGGCTAAATGCCTTTTCTGAAGACTCCTCGTAGAAACGAGTAGTCGGATCTTTCGCGTCTGGATCAACTGCTAGATCCACAGCACTGTTGGACCGAGCAGGTCGCGCAGACGCCTCCTCCTAAACCTAATATTCCAAGCAGCTGTCCCTTAACTCTATATCAGTCTCCGGTTGAGACACCAAAGGTTGTAACGTTGCACCAACGCTACACCCACGCTAAATGAAATTCAGACCATGCGGTAAATCCTATCGCGTGAAGGGTTAATCTCCTTGCATCTTGAAGAGAAACTACGGTTACCATAACTCCCGCGTCTCCGACTATCTTCCTGAACGAATCCGCCGAGCGGAAGGGAGGTCTATGGGAATCCGCGCGTAGACGAACCTCGCCTCGCCAAATAATTATTTCGACGGACAATAGGATTAACCTGTATCGCGGTGCCCCGTTTTAGATGGATGCCGTGTCAGCTGAAAATCGAGCTGAACATCTGCAGCTGCGACTACGACGGCATAATCCTAGTGTCGGGTTGCGCCCCCGGGTTCGACGAGCCAGAACCCTTTAAAACGGTGCTGTACGCCGCTGCACAGATCGATTCCGCTCTGGGCATCATCGGGGCGGTTTTGCCCATCAATCTACCCGCCAAGAGGCTCATCTACAGTCCCACTGGCCCGCTCAACATGGACTACCACGACGTACGGAGCTTCGCCGAAGCGGCCACCAAAGGAGTCCAAAGGTACGATAAGATCGTTTGGAAAAAAAACTAATTTTCTCGATCGTAATTTACGAACGAAAAGTAAACGCAAGCTAGAAATTTTTAAAGATATACAATTTTACATTCCTAACGTAGCATTCGATTTCAAGTGCACCATAATATTGCCTCCGCGTTCATAATTCAGTCTTTTTCGAGCCTCGTTCGAGAGGAAATATTAAACGCGCCGAGAGTTCAGGAATAGTCGCGAAAGATCCAAAAAGTTTACATCCACGGTCGATTGTTTATTCATCAACGAAAAGGTACGATCGATCCGCGCGCCAGCCGCAGAACTTTAAACAAATCGGGGACAGATTAGCCGTGGCTAATTCGCTCGTAATTGCTTATTAATTGCACGGCTTAATTGGAGGGGATCAGAGCGCGGGATCATTAGATGAAACTCGGATTACTTGTTTGCCGAATAACGAAGGAGATTTCGCCAGTTTGATAACGCCGGTTAACTTCGTTGTGTTAACGTCGCCCAAATGTTTGCTTTCCGTAAAAGGGCGAGCGACGTCGAACACACCCCCACTCTACCCTCCTGGGGTGGGTTGTTAACTGAATTCGCCAACAAACCAACGTCTAACGAGTCACGCGAGTTCTCGAATAGCGAAATATTGTCCTTTTTCACGGAAATACTGGAAAAAACTCCAAACAAATTTTAACACAAATCGATCAAATATTAAATAGTTTGAGAGCGAATTGGATATTTGTTTTTAACTCGAGCTGGTATTCTCATGTGAATCGTCCAACTAGGAAAGTGAATAGAGTATAACGAGTGTGTTTGTAACTTCAAAACGACGATGCTCGTGCTCGGTGTATTCACTAATCTGGCTTCTGTCGCCACATTTTTTTGAGATTGAGCACTTATTGGAGGATACGCGTTTCTAAGATTGTTTTGATCAGCGAGGTATTAAAAAGAGAGCAAAGATGGTGTCGAATGCCTCGACATTGTCGTTCGCTAGTGGCTCCCTCAATCTTTGCCTATGATCGATGCCCGCCGAAGAGGAGATAAATCGTGGCGTTGAATATTTATAAGAACATGCACGGAATTAGTTAACCCCGAATCGAGGAAGGGTTGACCGTGCTCAGGGGTGCCTGAATGATTCATAGCAGCTATCGGTTTTTAACCGAAGATCGAGCCTGTCTATTTATAATAGCGAGGAGCAAGGTTGATCCGTGGAGAGCTCGGTAATAAATTTGAAATGGACTCGCGTTAAGACCGATAGATAAATATTTATTCGCCATTAGGTTTCGCGTTCGTGCCTGGCTCCCGTTTCGCGACACAAACAGAATAATTATTCGTAATTACTCATAATAAAATATAACTATTGATTTCAGGATTGTTCAAAGCTAGCAACTCCTGAAAATTTCTGTTTAAATCCAAGATACGTAAAGTGATGTTCATTTAAATTTAAAAAAAATTGTGAGATTCCGGGATGGGGATAAAAAAATGGATCAAAAATGTAGAGTAAAATTTTTGGCGTATGCGAGCGAGTGAATACGAAGTGCTTGGCGCGTCTCACCATTACTCACTGTTTCTACTTGCGCTGATTTCCAAGTCATGCTCTTTAAAGTCGAGTTTCTTGTAAACAAAGCCCCGTATGACAAAACTATTTTCCACTTCAAACAAACAATCCCCATAAAGATTCCATTTTAATGAAAAATAATTTGGAGAGTTCAGGATATTTTCTTCTTTCAATTTTCGAAATTTACTAAGTCCGTTCCTTAGCATTATTTAATTTCAATAACGAAAGCTGTAGTGCTTCGTACGCGATGTTTTGGCTGGCAGAGCCGCTCGAGCGGAAGAATAGAAATTCCAGCGGAGTCGCGCGTGTCCGATTCACGCGAAATTCGGTTGAAAAATGAAATTCCACGGAGTTTGGGGGCCCCTAGACGGGATCTTGAACGGGATTGTGATCTTAGACGGGATTCCAAGCGTACGTCGACGACACTCGCGTCGGTGACAGCCACAATATCGCCGCGAAATGAAGAGGAAAGAATAACTTTCCGCGGCTTCGCGGTGCGCGTCGTTTCTTTCTCGATATCGGTCGCGTCTTTTGATTCCGGGTCTTCACTCTGAACGACATTTGGCGATGTTGGTTTTTCAACCGTCGAATAAAGGATCTCTGGGAAGACAGTGTGTCTGGAGGGATGGCTGAGCCATAAGTTCCTTCTGGGATGGGATATTGTTTTATTTATAGCGCACGATCACGATCACGATATGGACAGTTTGGGTTACAGCGTTTGCGTTCAGAAATTGTCCTAGGTTCCGTGAAAGCTTTAAGATCCATTTAACAATTCTTCAGTATATCATTCTTTGTATACCAATTCCAAGTACGAAAGTATTTCCCTGCTCTTAAGTGATCCTATGATAAAGCAACGACAATAACGATTTTGACTTCTACGACGTTCCATAACCGACAGTGGAAGCTAACCAGTAGTTTTACTTTGCGGTACTCTGTAAGAACGACATCCTTGAGGGTCTCTTTGTTCAGAATCTTACAATTAAAGTTGTCGAGGTCTCTCAGAAGTTGTAACCTGCCGCAAACTCTCGACGACGGTGGAGCTAACGGCACCAGCGAGACGTCAAAACCGTTTCCCGAAAGGACATCCCGTTTATATCGCGAGACTTTCCACGGTTTTAGCTCGTAAAGCGCGCATATGATTCGTTACTGGAGCGTTTGTTTCGTTCGTCGTTCGCGCGTAGATAAATTCGACAATGTTTTCCCTTTTCGATCCGAGTAATTGATGGTTCGGCCGATTCGAATGCTAATGCCAGGTGTTTTCGTTCCAGGACAGGGATTGATTTCGGTTGCGGAATTGATGAATATTGAGATTGATCGTAATTTTCTCGTTTCGTGCACGAAATTGACATTGACACGGACATTGATGTACCGTAGTTTTTTTTTTGGCGCGCGTAATGGACGTTGCAGAGTTTTAGTGTTACTTTTGGTCTCGATCCGGAAATACGATTCTTCCCGTTGAATTTTCGCGCGCGATAGACATCCACGAGCAAATGTCAGCTGCTAACGAAGAATTTCTGCCGACAGAGCATTGAAAGCTGGCGTCAGATGTCCGCTGTTTGCGCTTCTGCCGGACATCCGCTTTGAGAACGTCGAACTCGTCACGCTGCTTGGCGCTCTCGAGGGCCTCTATGTGGTGAGTATCCAACTTACGCGTACAAAAATTCTCGCGCTTTTAGAGTACCGGTATCAAAACGCAGCAGTTGCGACAACTGCTACTGTAACACGATAATAATGGAACTAGCAACATGCACTGCTACTAAAGTTCGACAACTGAAGCTGCAACTATTAACACGTTCACTGTCAGACGAAAACCGTGCAATTTTCTGCGTAATCTAAAATTTATTTTTGTAAGTTTATGGGTGACGTGGCAGTCAAAGTGTTAATAGCACGATATATCACCAATAATTGCAACAAGTACGACTACTACAATAACAGGGTTGAATTCATGAAATAACAAGATGGTGGTTACGTTTGGAAAAGTATTTAGATTGAATGTTTCATCAGTGGGGTGTCCGATTGATTAGTAGACCCGTTTCCACCCAATCGACCTAAATACGACGAACTTATGCCATGGCTGAATAGCCAGTGGTGTTCTTAATCTATAACTAATGACGTCAGCGTGCTCTCGAATCACCCCATTACATGAAACTGTAATACTTCGCAAACTCTTGGTCAAGCTGCTCCGTTAGTCTCAAGGTAAACGACCGAACTTAACGGACACGAAGCGAACGCTCCGTATTCACTTCGTTACACCCTGGATGGTCGACGTTAATTGCCAAGCAGAAACCAATCCCGTTAAAAAGCTCGATTCTCGCTTTGCTTCTATCTACAGACCGGAACGTATTAAATAGCAAGGGTCGTTCGAAGGTTCATGTCGAAATACGTCACTGTAACATCGATATCCTGGCTATAAAAATATATTTACTTATACAAACATTTACCCCCTCGAAATAAGTAATATTTATCGTCGTATTTTCTATCTACCTGAAAGTCGAGTCAAGTGTTCTGCGTGTTAAAAAATAAAGACGAACAAAGCTCGAATTTTTGAAACTCTCGGCGTGGTACATCCCCTTAACACAGTTTCGAGAATCGCAGATGGTTCGAGTCGTTCCGGACGCTTTAATATCGACCTGAACTCGCGCTCGGTCCCTCCGTTTCTCCCCCGGTTCTGATCCGAATGTTTTCGCGGCGGAAGTCGGTTATCGGGACGAACCAAGTCCCCGTGCGTTGCCCGGTTCGACGACATTTTGAGTAAACAGCGGCGGGTGACAGGTATCAGCGAGGGAACGCGCGGTCAACAGAGCCATTAAACAACACCTGTCAACGCCAGCGCCGGGACAACCTGCCGCTGATGGATAAGTGTGTCTTACGAGCAGAGACCCGGACGATTTCGACCGCCCATTGGTCATCGGCGTCTTCGACAAACTCCGTTAGAAGTTGACGGTGAGGTTCGTTTCGTCGAGTAGAACCACTAAAATTTCTACTCTTCGACGCCGAAATTCTCGCCGTATCTTTAGCAGTTCGACCGAGAGAAACCAATAAAGCGAGCGAGATTCGCACGAAAATCCAAAACTCCGTTAAAATTGAGGCGGAAAGTTTCGCCCCGGCGTCGCTCGCCCGAGAGCACCACCGAGCAACGAATACCTCCGAAGATACCCACCCTCCTTATTCTAATTCCATGGTACCTAATAACAGAACCAAAATGCCTTCCGCGGAAAGCATCGGGATCTCCCTCCACTCGAGATGATCAACGATTTCTCAATAAGCTCCCAGCGCCCGGTGAACGTACTCCCGGCAACACACCCCCCTCGCTACCGTTCGAGGAACATTCCACGAGACTTTCATCCCTTATCTTCGACACGAAGCTCGTCTCCGCGTGCTTCGGGGCTGTAACTTTAAGCCCCCCTCCAGCCCCGGTGCACGAGAAGGATCAAGGGAGGAAGGCGCGCGTGCCTTTTCCACGATGAACAGCATCGTAAGAGGGATGAAGATAGGAGGGGAGGTTAGGCGAGGGCTGCAGGGCGTTCCGTCTTGCCAAGAGTAGCAGATGCTTCGCGTTCCTAAATCCTGACGGTCGGCGGGGCGACCTAATTAGCGAAATACTCGAGGCCCTGGCCCCCCGAGTCTGTGTTCCGAGACGTCGATGTCGGGGCTCGTTCGTTCTTTCGCCGGGCGCTTCCTACTCCCCCGTCGTTCGAACCCTGCGCCTCTGACGGGTCTCGCAAATGCGGGCCATCGTTTTCCAAATACCGGAAGACGCCCACGGAATTCCGACGACGCGTAATCGGAACGCCGTCGGGAGCGTCGCCTCCTTCGTTTCGCCTCGTGCGTCCCCAGCGAGCTTCCGTTCGCTCCGTCAGTCGCTCTCTTCTGTCACTTTCGTTCCCGTCCGACACCCCTAACTTCTCGACGTCGCTTTCGTTCGACATCGGGAGGTAACCCTTTTTATTTCCTCCTGTTTCGCGACGGGAACCGAGACACGAGATTCAGACATTATTCGAACAACTTCGCGTTAGAAGTAAATTACCACCATCGGTAGATTGGTGAGGTTCCTCCGATGAAAATGAGTCTAAACACGACCCCATTCGCGTTACTTATAATTACACCCCGCTTAAGTGAGAACCCAAAATTCTAGAAAAATTCAAATACGTGAAATAATGAATATTCCAAATATAGTCGTGTTTGGACTCATTTTCACCGGGGAAACCTCGTCGATCCATCGATACCACTCTCATGAATATACAGTGACACACGTAGAAATATCGATTTGAATTGGAAGACCGAGAACTAGTGAAATAAGTAATTGAGCATCCTGATAATAGAGTCTACCGCCATTCTAGGGAAGATCACTGCGTCGTTTTGTCTCCACCTTTTATTTCCAGGGATTTCTCGTCCCCGGTTTCGCCACTCCTCTAACTTGTCTGCCTTCCAAATGGATGTTGCACGAAATATTGTTTCGCTCTATTTTTTGCTCCTCGAGGCTCGGGCGCGTTATTATTGAGGGTGACGCGCATTCACCGACGTTTCGTTAAATGTTCGCCCGAGACAGAGTCGGCCCGGATGTCTGGGGCTGGGCTCTTGGTTACGTCGGCAATAATCGGCGGAGATATTGGTTTCCCAAGGACCGCGGTGCTGCGGGTATTTCCAGTTGCGCTCACGGAACGCTGCGTTATTACTGCGATTAACGAGCTTTATTCGTCCGACGATTGTTCGGCGAAATGATTTCACGGAAATCTTGGATTCAGTATTTTCTGATTTACTCGTTCTTACTACCGAGATTCCAACGATTCTAAAATATGTGAACCTGGAATCTAGCTGGGCAGTGGATCTCAATTTATCAGTAATTAATCCCGGAAAAACACGTCCCCCGCTTAGACAAAGAATAAAATTCTTGCTCCGCAAAAACAGGAATCTATCACTTGAATCGAAGCTATTCGAGTAACAGATAGCTAATAAAATCGTCGATTCTCCGTGCAAATATGAATCAAAAAGTCGTGATCGAGGCACTTGAAGTTTTTTTAGTACGCCATTGCGCGGTCAGCTGATTGGAAAGCAAATGGCGCGTGCTTGGGCAAACTTTGATTGCTTATATCTCCGCAACGAAGCTTCGAATTGCAGAGTGGTAAAGGATTTTTCGATCCCTTTTCGCACAGACACTCCGAAAAAACGGATCTTCGCCCCAAATAAAAGTTGCAATCTCGCCTCTGAGAAAAAACCCCGAAAAATTCTATGCCTGTTTCTTCGTTTTCGCGTTGAGCCGGGGAACGATCCACGAAAATCGCTCGAGATACTTATTAGCGCAGGACGCATTGTCGCCGCGCTAAACTGCTACAAAACGTTTCCCGCGATTCCAGGCCTCCATGCGATACCGCTATACATATACGACGCTGAACTATTCACCTACTTCGAAATAATAGCTATCGAGGCAGCGGGTATCTATACCGCGCCTCCGATACGAGCAGCGAATACATTAATGCGAAACTATGCCTAGCGTTCGGATAACGAAGACAGCCCGTCTTCAAACTGAGAAACGAGCCGTTTTCGGTGTCTCGAAGTAACCTGCTCGCGCGAAAAAACGAACGAAGAACGAGAAAGAAACGACCAAGCGTCGCGGCGTTTCGATCTCCAAGAAAATAAAAAAACGAAAGGGGAAACAGTGACTCCCGATAAGCCGGGTAAATTATTAAAGGGATTAATTCGAGCGTGGACTTTCGAACGAAACATACGTCTTCCGGTAATCCAGTAAGAGGATTATCCGCTTTAATATTTTCTGTACGATGGAACAAAGTCGCTAAGGAGCTGCGTTGCTCGCTACGAATGAACGCGATACGTGTAGAAACCGGGGAAAAACCTGATCTCCGGGGCTCGTGAAATATTCCGACGGTACCGGTGTCATACTCGATGCCCTTCGTGCTTTTCTCCTGTCCCCCGCGGGGCTAAATTCAACCTTACGTTCGCGTTTAACCCGAGACAGGTGCATTTTGTGGGATCGATTTTTCTGCTTTAATTAACGGCGGTTCCTTTCCGTTTAATAGAGAAAATACGACGGGAGGCGCGCCCTCAAAGCCGTACAGATTGCTTCGTGAAACGGGGCCGTTATTTTTGGTATTAATATACCTCATAAGTACAGAATCACCAGGACGATATAGATATAGCCTGTTCTTTGAAGTAGGTACAGGTTGTTTCTTAAATTGTGACCTCCAATATTTGGAAAGTTCTGTGGATACTCAGAATGTTACACATCTCACGAGGCACTCCGTAGTTTCCCCGATAGAAATCGTACCGTTCCCGTAAATTGTTAATATTCTGGTTCCATTGAAACGTTCTCTGTCCGTCCAGCCGCTGGAGGTGCGAGAGATATGCCCGGATCGTTGCTACAAGGCGTGTCAGCTGGCCGTCTGGAGTCCGATCTGCAGCAAGAAGCTTCAGGGTATCGTGAAGTTGGCCTCGGCGCTCGAGAGCGGAAGATACGTGGCGAGGGATATCGGTGAGTCATTCTCAGAGCCTAGATTCCTGTTGCTTTATCGAGCGGAATCCCCGAAGAATGGCCGCCGACTTCCGTTTCGCGGACCAGCCGCGGCGAACTGGGACACCGTCGAGGAGAAAACTCGCCCGCGGCTCGTCGAGCGTGAACTCAGACACCTCCTGGCTTTCGGCGAAACGGTCCTAAACGCAGGCACTCGAAACTTTGATTCGGACCGATGTCGACCGAGCGTCCCTTCCACGCAACTTCCCCGAAAAGTGGTTTGTTCCGCAACTCGCGGACGATCTTTCGCGTACTTCTGTTCGACGTCGAAAGGAGGGTGTTTTACGGCGTTTATATTTGCCTCCGTTCGGACGCGAAGAAACAATCCGACGACGAAACTTTCGTTGTCGCGCGAAACGGTGCGCTCAATAAGCGTTAATGCGCAGAAATTGAGTCGCTGTTTTAATATTCGAGGGTCTCGGGGAGCAAATCGTTAGGCGAATTTTTGCCCCGACCGCGGAATTCCGTGTCTCGCGTAATTTCGCGACGGACGATTCCCCCGCGGAGTCGTCGTCCGAATTCTTTTTCCGGCACGGCGGAGAGTTTGACATTTCTGCGCGATCCGCGGACAGCGGGGGAATGTAAATTTCCGCTCGGCCCGGTCGCGTGTTTCCTCAAGAATCTCGGGCGTTTAATTAAGAGAGAAAAAGTTGCGTACAGTACGCATTCGGCCTGTGGATTTCCTTATTTCGTCGACGATGCGCTTTTCGCCAGTTCGTGAATGCACGTGGCCTCGATGCGCGTGGAACGCGAGAAACAATTGTACGGGGCTTCTCAAACCTCGAGCTCCCTTTTAACACTTTTAATCGAGGAAAGTAATTTCACAGACATTGCGGTGAGGATCGTTTAACTTCACCTTATATAATTCGCGGATTTAATTGACAATAAAATAGCGCGTGGATCGTATTTCAGAGACAATTTACGCGTGGGTGAGAAACGAATTCAAGATTTACGCTTTGAAAGTTCGAAAGAACGAATAACGAAAAGTGGATCCCGGGAGACTCGTACCGCGCGCAGTTTCGAAGCTTTTATTAATGTGAAACGGCGTTGAGGATAATTAAAGCGTGAAAAGTAGCAACGCTGATCCTTTCTAATGGAACGCACGCGAGAAGAGGGATATTAAAGGGAAAACGTCTGCCCGTGGCCAGACGCGTGCTCGTTCGACGATATAAAGGGATTATGTTTCTTCCACAAGTTTGTTGCACAAGGACGGTTCCCGCTGGAACACAACGCGATTCTGCCCGACGACTGTAATTAGTTTAAATATGATACTGAAGGTCCCTTTACGCGACAGAATTAACACGAAAAAAGAAAGATAAAAAATAGATCACACGGTGCAGGGAAACGTTCCTCGCAGCTGTTCCGTGTAAATTTAAATTTCAGCGAAAATCTCGTCGCTCGTTAGATCTCATCTTGGTACGTCGCATTATCGTTTTTCTTATTTTACCGGGAAACGAGAGTTTGCAGGATGGCGTTGCTCGGACATACGACGAAGAAACCATCGCCCCGGCCCATCGGAGACGTTTCAAAGCGGGAGGAACGCCCGAGCCGCGCTTTATTTTCCGTGTCCTCTCGATTGAATACGTTTTTACGGCCCTTCTTGCCGCGTCGTGATCACCGTTCGATGAAAGCTTTCCCGTGGCCGAGCAATGGCGGGAAAAACGACAGGCTACGCGAGATAAGTCGTGAATGTTTCAACCGGATCGTCGAACGAACAAATATTGTTTTTTGAGCTATTTCTCAAAATCTTCTCGTTGAGCTATTTTTAAAACTTGTGTCAGTAACTGAGTCGAGTATTATGATTTTGGGAACGAAAAAGAGTATTTTGTCACTCAAGAGAAAGTAGTAACAATTGTAAAAGTTACCGATAGTGGTGGATTTAATTTGTAAGTCTGACTAATGAATAACTTGTGCTCGAAGGTGGCGCGGACCCGGAAAGAATGGCGCCGCCGAGGGTGGAGGAGTACCTGGCCGAGTTGTTCTGCGGTTCGAACGTGACGATGCAGGTGGTATCCGACCAGGATACCCTGTTGCAGGAGTATCCTCTGTTCGCGTGCGTGAATCGGGCCGCGTCAATGATCCCCCGCCACGCTGGCAGGATTATCTTCCTGACCTACGAGCCCCCTAATCCTGCCTGCGTTCTGGAGACGGTTATGCTCGTGGGAAAGGGTGTCACTTACGACACCGGCGGCGTTGACCTCAAAATCCAGGGCACAATGTTTGGCATGTCGAGGGACAAATGTGGGGCGGCGGCGTGCGCTGGATTCATGCAGGTACTTTAATATCACAGACGTCGCCATCCTCCAGCAATGCCATTATACGTCTATTAAGCATTCTGCGTCGCCATCTACTTTCTTCGATTCCATTTTTTAATTATACACGCACCCCTGGACCAGTTTCTCTTAATAGGAGGAATGTCGTTAAATATTTGTCGAGCTACTTCGCTAAAAAGACAGTAAAAAACGAATACCCCTGGCGACGATCGCGGAAGCTTTTCGATCCGACCTCGTATTTACCATCCACGAGAACGCGTATCGACAAAGTTATCCGATCGTTTAATAGACCCCGCAACAGCACAGCGGTAACGCGTAACGCGTAACAATGGTACAGATTTAATTGAAATCGTGCGTTTCATTTCACGACGATTAATATCGAAATTTAATCGATGCGATTACAGCCACGGTTCCCGCGGCGGAGTTTCGTCATCGTTGATCGAGCCCATAATTTAACTCCGGCTTTCAGGGTATATCAAATTCTGTAGCTGCACGGTATTATCTTCGATTGACCGGGGTAACTTCGTTATATTTGTGCAATAATGGTTCGTGTTACTCGGCGCGGGTTCAAACGTTCCTTTATCGCATAGAAACCAGCGTCGGAGTTAAGCTACCGTGAACACGGTTAGTGCTCCGGGACTCCGGTGTGCCGTTGACACCGGTAATTCAGAGCCCGTGTACCGGGGGCTGTGTGTCCCCCAGCTACGCTGCCGGGTTGCAAGGGTTGGAAACGAAGGGGGTGATAGAGAGAACACGGTGGGGGGAAAAAGAAATGGAGTCCGTGGGTCGTGATGGAGCGCGCGGCTGCTGTCGGGACCGCGGTTAATCGTCTCGTTGTCCGCGGGCGGGCCAAGAAAGAAAATCGCCTTCCTTCCTTGCTCGCAGGTGGTGAATTTACTGCAGCCGCCGACGGTTAAAGCGGTGGCGGCTTTGTGCGTGGTGAGGAACAGCATCGGCGAGAATTCTTACGTTTCCGACGAGGTGATCACGGCGAAATCCGGCGTCAGAGTACGTGTCGGGAATACGGACGCCGAGGGCCGGATGGCGATGGCCGACGCCCTCTGCCACGTCAAAGAAATGGCCCTGTGCTCGGTCAATCCCCACATATTCACCGTCGCGACGCTAACCACCCACGCGGTGCTCACCGCTGGTCGAGGATACTCGGTAAGTTCGAGCGTTTAAAAGTTCCATCGTTCCGGTTCGACGGAAACTACCGCGTTAGGGATACTCGGAACGATCGCCCCCCGCGTCTTAAATGTTTATGTCTCCTGCTTAAGTGACCAGTGGGTGTGTAATTAATTGGAGATTCTCATTTCGAGGGTGAAACCTCCTGTTTTTGAGTCTCGTCTATATGAAGTCTATTAATTTTGGAACAGCACCGACTGCTTGGTCTTTGGCTGTTGTGTATGGTTTAGTTAATCCTTGTTTTATTGTTCTTCCTATGTTGTCTTGTTATTTTCTTTCTCCTTTATATTTTCTGTGTTATATTCGTTTTTTTGCAAAATGTCAGTATTTTTCTTATATTGTTTATATCGTTGTTTAGTGCTTGCTGTAGTGACCTTTTTATGTGTAACCTGTTCATCAGTCTGTTGTAGGTGGGGCATTCTTCTATTATGTGTTTGATTGATATTGATATTTTACATATCGGGCATTTTGGCGGTTCTTGTTTCTCGAATAAATGGTTATGGGTTAGTTGTGTATGTCCTATCCTGAGTCTTGTTAGTATTGTTTTTTCTTTTCTGTTTAGTGTGGTTTTTATTTCCCATTTTTCCACCGTTGGTTTTATTAGTTTTAGCTGTGTAGTTGTTGTGTTCCATTCGTCTTGCCATTTCTGGGTTAGGATTTGTTTTATGTGCCTATTAATGTCATCTAGTCTTATGGGGTGTAGATTACTATCTGCAGTTCTTGTCTTTTTGTTCGCTAATGTGTCCGCTTTTTCATTTCCCTTGATACTGGTATGGCTTGGAATCCATACAAATATAATCATCTTTTTCTGTATTTCTAGATTTGCTAAGTTTGTTTTTATAAGCTGTAATAATGAAGTCTTTATTCCGACCTGAGTTTCGAAGAATCGAATAAATTCAAAGGAGAAGATTCTCCACTATCGTCAGGGTGATAGATGGCTCGTGATACGGAGATTTTAATAGAACAATGAGTGCACTTAGAACCGATGTTAACGATAATGCAACACGATTGATGATACAGCGCTTCGACCGAGCCTGGTAGCCGAGATTCAAACTGCTCAGGGCTCCGAGCTGATTGCTCGCTTACTATACACGGCACCAAATCAACTGGCTGTTCATGATCGCATCACTCAATTACTCTACTGGTCTATCTCTCATCTCTTCGATCCACGTTTGTTTCGCTATCGATCTCCCGTATTGTTCGCTTCAAAGCCGACAGCGAAGACCAGGGACGCAGGGGCTAAGGAGTCTCTGTACGAGACGAGAGACGAGAAGGATAATAAGTTTCGCTGGAATTAAGGAAAAGAAGCACAGTGAATCGCTGTTAGCGATGCTCTGAGAGAAAAGATAGCTAGATAACGTCACCAACGATCGGGGAAGTGGACATCGACGAAAGGAACGAACTCTGCTCAACGACTAACCCTTAATTGCACTCTATTTTTCCCCCCGTTTTACTGACCGACAAAAAACCCACGCAATAACACGATGCATCAAAACAATTTTGTTCTGTTAAAACGAACGACCGCCATTTTCAGATCGCCATGGACAATGCCGTGGCGCGTTTAGTGAGCAACGCGGAGAAGCTTCAGGCCTCTGGCGAGACGATGGGCGACCCATTCGAGATATCGAGGATACGCAGGGAGGACTTCCGGTTCCACGAAGGTCTGACGGAAGGCGACGACGTCCTCCAAGCGCAGGACAAACTGTGCACGGGTACGGAAAGAGGCCATCAAGGACCGTCGGCTTTTCTGATCCTGGCGTCCGGGCTGGACAATGTACGCCGTAAATTTTTAATTCATTGTTTTTGCTCCCTTTGCCGTGCAAGCTTGATGACTTGTGGCGCTGCGCTTGGAAACGCCAGAGCGAACCGTCGCTTGGACGTTGCGGGTAGCGCTGGCGACTTTCCCATTCTGTCAACAGGTGCTCCAGTTTTGACGCTGGCCAAACTGGCTTCGCTTACATGACGTCGAGGAATCGCGGGGCCTTGAAATTTATGCTCGATCGAACGTAGTTTCGTCCCTGCCTCCCACACGTTGACGGATCAAACTTTAACGCGTTAAGCGCATACGTCCACAGTGAATTTATAGCGAATAGGAAAGATGAATCGATACTGTAACTGTTCTCAGCCAATATTCTATTCTATTACTAAGTAGGAATCGTTAAGCAACCGAACGGATAGCAAAAAGTAATCGTCAAGAATGGTGCATACCAGAAATAAAGTATTTCTTTTCCACGACTTCCCGAATAACCCGATATTACACCAAGATACCACTCACGTGTTACATAGCTTCTGTTTCCGCGGAAGTCAACATATTTCCTCCACCCCCCAAATGGAAGAACGATGAATTTTTTATGGACGATCAGTTTAGTACAAGTACCGCGAGGAGGCGTTAATGATAGATTAAAAAGCTTTTCCATTACAATGACGTTTAAAGCCTCGTTTACCCGGCCTCCCTCTCCCGTTCCCCGACCAGTTCACTTTCTCATCCCCCTCGTATCGATTTCAGCACGGAGCCTGTAGCTGTTCCCCCTTAAAATACACGCACATAGACATATGCGGCCATCTACCGAAACCACACCACCTACCCTACAGCGGCAACCCCGTTTTGGCACTGTCCTACTGCTACCTCATTCAAGGCAAGTGCCTGACGGTCCGAAACGACCTGCCCTTTGAGATGCAATATGTCTGCGAAGTGGACTGCAAGCCAGTGTGTCTGCAACCTTGCCAACCATGCCCACCTTGCCCCGTCCCGTGCGAGGTCAAGGTCCCTTGCGCACCAGGAACCTGTTCCTGTTGTCCCCCGTGCGATCCCTGTTGTTTACCGAACTGTTATCAACCTCCACCCTGTCCACCCTGCATTGTGCCGTCCAACTGTCCACCGTGTGGCGCCGAGCCGGTGACAGTCGTCGAACCGATATGCAAACCGAACGTTCAAAGGAACGTATGCTGAGAACGCAACGTTGTATGGTATATTGAAAATAAAGAGACGTAAGAGAGAGCTCGGATTTTGGTACAATTTTATATTTAGCTTTTACTTTGCTGCCTACGAGAATAGAACCCGGGGTATATCTATTCGCGACAATTCTCTGACTTCAAACGACTGTACGAAGTATTGTAATTTTATCTAAGTTTCGTTTCAGAATGAAATTGAAGAGAAAAGTCTTTCTCTTACAACGACCCCTTAGAAATTGACGTGCAATATCCCGTTCCTGAGTTATCGACCAACGAATGAAGAATTTGAGTTGCTTTATTGGCGGTTGAGAAGGAAGGACTCTGCTGATTCCAGCTTACCAACAGATATTAACGCTATGGGGTGTCTATTTTGTCGGCACTCAGAATTTTCGAGACACTTGCAACGTTACCGACAAACCATAGAAAGCAATCATAGCGCTTGATATGGTGGGAAATGAAAACCACGGTGCAGAGTCGGACATCTATCAATTAATTTCATTAAAGTAATCGATCGATTAACGAGATTGAAAATTTAGTCGCCACAAATCGCTTTCGTGGCCTAATCTGACTGCCATACCGACCAGAAAATACGGAGGTGATTTTAGCGTCCTCTTCACATGGATGGCGGTCAATTGAAAAACTATTCACAGAATTAGTATTGATGGGCAAACAGTGTAGTGTTGCGTAAATACATGTGAGTTGACTATAGAAGAGATTAAAATTAATTTCTGAATCTGTCGGTAACGTTGCGAATGACACGAAAATGGTAATGGAGTTTCGAGACCCGATAAAAATAGGCCGCAAAAATACATTAGATGAAGGATCTACTTCTATGCCACATCTGTGACAGTACTCTAGAATCTTTGATGAATCAATGAGAATCAAAACTAACCTAGTGAAGAAGCTGTATATTTATGATGACCTATGCAAAGCGGATCGCACCAATTAGCTAATATTATTCAGTTTTCAATTAATAATTGCATTACCCAGCTAAGAGCGATACGAGTATTAATTGAACGCTAAATAATATTAAACAGGTCTCACCACGCGGAGGTTGCTGCAAATGGAGACCCACCCTAGCCTCGCCCCAACCACCCTTCCTTTGGCGAGGAATTCGAATACCTATCTAAGGGAGAAGCTATCGAAAAGTTAGAAACGAGCTAGAAAAGGAGAGTTCTTAAAAGAACTGCCCAATCAAGAGATGAAGAATCTAACAAAATGTCAATACATGTGAGATGATACACATGTTTTCTAAAAACGAAATTGAAATGTGCAACTGCACGTACGAATCCTGATTATTAAAGTACCAATATGTACTTTATTATTAATTGTTCCTTCTTAATTATGACAGTGTCTAATAAGACACTGAAGATATAACCAGAAATGTGCAACTGCACGTATGGACCTTGCATATTAGAATACTAATATGTACCTTAATATTAATCATTCCCACTTAAATTTACACACACGTTTCGGTAATATTTAATAAACGGCAGGAGGACGCTTTTTTATCTTATAATCTATATACATTTGTACTTATATTCTAACGCAATCTGTAGCAACATGAAGAAATATGAGGAAATATTTTCTTCTTGGTGTCTTCATCAATCCCACGATGTTTATCTAAAACATACACTAATATACAATAAATTATAACCGACATGAAACAAAGAAATACGACAAGATATTTTCTTCTTGGTGTCTTCGTCACTCCCACGATGTTTTCCTGAAACAAAAACTCATATTCAATCAAATATATAACTCATATAAAACAAATAAATATGAAAAAATATTTCTTCTTGGTGTCTTGATCAATCCCACGATGTTTCCCTGAAACACAAATCAGACAATAAATAAAATTGTAGAAAGAAACAAACTACATCAAGCTACTTCAAACTACAATAGAGTGGCACATATGGGGATGAAGTTACACGTTTTAAATATCGCAACACTACGGGGCAACAACGCGATAAATCAACAATCGCAACGCTAATTTATAATAGAAAAAATTCCAAACGCGACTTGTAAGAATAAAAGCAACCCGCGAATGGTAATTATTCGCAACACTATCCTGAAAAGCAAACGCGAAAAATAGTAATTCGCAACTCTAATTCGCAATCGCGTTTACTAAAAATTCGCAATGCTATTTTTAAAGCAAACGCCCGGTTCCTAGGTTTGCATAAAGACAATCACGAATCGTATTTATTCGCAGCACTAATATATCAACGCGATAAATATTTGTTCGCAACTCTACGAGCAAACGCGAACATTGTATATTATTCGCAACTCTAACTTTAATCAGGGGCTATTGGTACATGTACATAGACATGTACTGGCCACAAAATGAACTAACTACTACTAGTACTACAATTGGGGTAGAATTTGGGCATTAAAAATATCGCAACGCTAAATAAAAAATCGCACGATTAATCAAGATCGCAACGCTAATTTATAATATAAAAATTGCAAACGCGGTTGATGTCCATTATATGTATAAAAGAGTAAAAAAGCAACGCGAATCGTGATTGTTCACAACACTACCCTGAAAAGCAAACGCGAAAAGTAGTATTTCGCAACTCTACAAGCAATCACGTTTATCAATAATTCGCAACGCTATTTTTAAGCAAACATTCGGTACCTAAGTTTGCACAGAAACAATCGCGAATCGTGTCTAGTCGCAACGCTACCCTGAAAAGGCAACGCGAAAAATAACAATTCGCAACTCTACAAGTAAACGCGATTATTGGATATTCGCAACTCTATGTACATCATAAACGCGAGTTATGGGGAGAGATGGTTGGCATGTCTGGTGCAATCATGTACGAAGTACATGCATACGTGAGCCAGCCAGAAAAATAAACTAACTACAACTACAGACGAGTTAAGTGACAAAGTAGTAACAGGAATGACTTTCCATCCTCATCCGAAGATGAAGATGAAAAACCATTTGTTGTAGCCCACTCTTGAGACAGTTTGTCAGGGCCTCTTCAGCTCATTGAGAGCCTTTTCTTTCTTCGGCGATCCTGCCGATGCCTGAAACTTACGAAAGACCGGGCTCGAGATTTTGTGCAATACGTAGTCTTCCAACAATATACGAATTGTTGCAAGAGCATACGTGGTGAATCTCGAGCGGGACGAACGTTTCGAAAGGGACCTAATCCCGACCGCGAGCGCGAGAGAGCGACTTTAAGAGTCGCGCGATTCGAGGAGTCGAAAATAAAGCCGAAACAAACAGCACAAGTGCACCGTTTGAATCAGCAACATTTCTACTCTCGAAATCGTAACTACAGTAACAGAACTGCCACGCGAAAACGCGCCTACCCGAATTACTAATGTGGACAGTCCTGCCCTGACCCTACCTACTTAGGTTTAAACACACACACCAGAGAATAAGTTACCTACCTACCTAATCCTATATTTAAATAAATGCAAAACTCAGTCTCTCAAACAAACACTCCACGGTTCTCATTCTGAATGTCCGGGCGCGACCTAAACTAGAGAGGACTCCCCGGGGTTCCTCCGACACCCGGACATAACACTTCATTCACACTCTAATTGTGGACTTACTAGTTTCTGAGACTGACAAAGGCTAGTGATCTTTGCGTTCTTATATTATATAGATAAACGTTTGTATAGAACGTTTCAATATATGGAATATAGTCTTTAATAAAATCTATTGTATAGATGTATCATTCAAAATTGAAAAATATTAAGATTCAAATCCATTAAGATCAACAGTATTCAAATAAATGATAAATTGAAATTTGATATTATTATTGATAAAAATCTAATGTTATAAAAGTCTGTATGTAAATTGCAATCATAAAACATCTGAAACGGCGCACTTCCACAACCTAACCACACACACACATGTGGACAGTACGTCGCGCACGATTCACTAGCCAATGTCAGTCCTCGATATGTCGTTGAATTGTTATAAATAAATTCATCGTGCCCCGTTGCCTTCGCTCATGCAAATAGCACCTGGGCATGTGCATGAACTTCGGCAACGAACACGGAAAAATTAGTCTGAAAATCCTGACTAGAAAAACTGGTTAATAGCTAAACGGTATTTCGTATCTAATTTTTAGTTAAAATGACTCGACTTTTTATATGTAATATATCAATAATAAAATACGATAATATTGAAAAATACTAATATTCGATAAAACTATTATAATTGAAATTGAATTATTTAAAATGAAAGACTCTACTTGAGATTTCATGATAAAAGAATTTACTTTAAAAATTGAAATGAATTCATTAAATTGTCAATCAAAATATTCAATTATCCTTGATCGATTTTGTCGTCAAAGTAAACTTTTTAAAAGATGAAACTAGTATAAAATGCATGTTACTTTGACTCAAAAATCGACCTGTCGCGAAATGCCTTCTTGCACGTTAAATAGCATGATAAATATAATGTTTTCACATTATATTAATTCATTTTCTATTCAATCATACAACTCGTATAAAGTTAAGAAAAATATTTCATATATTCTATAAAGATTGTATATTTGTAAAAATTTTATAATAATCATAATGTGTACTATTCATTTGTAACATTAAGAAACGCGAGTGCAAGAAGACCCTAAAACCTGCTCTAAAAAATATAACAGTTGATGTTAATATTCACTTAACTCGTCAAAAATAGCAAGTATACAACTGGTCACCCGTGTTGATTCGGATCTTTCATCCTACAACATGGTTGGGGACCAGAGGAAACAAAATAGCATGCAACTTACCAGTGATGACTTGAAGTCCTCGAAATCATCCATCAGTCATCCATCAGTCAGCATGGTCCTGCTGGTTAGATTCAGGTCCAGAGACTGTAACAAAAATGCAAGAAAACAATTAGAATCGATTGTTAAAATTATAGAGATTTTTAATTAACAAATTTCAAAGTATAAATTTATACTTACGTTGTTCGCTTGTGGTCCACCGCCCGATACCCCCCGGGTACTGCTACTGGTTCCCAGGATCATGCTCAGAAACTGT